ACGCGGTACCTCGACATCTGTGATCTGTCTGCTGAAGGGCGAGTCCGTGTAACATGTCTTTGAGGCTCGATCCAACGGAAGGGGTACTCCGGGCAGCCCGTTGATTTTGTCTTGCATCTGTCGGAGTTGCTCCATAATCATTGCTATCGGACTCGCCTGACCTGGCTGAATGGACTCAGGCGCTGAGAATGTCAATCCTGCCATCTGGGTTGCCTCGGGACGGGTTGGTGAAGGAATGATTATGACCTCTGGATGCCGTTCTCCACAACTCTGCCCTGCTGAAGCGGCTGGTCCACGCTGCCGTTGTGCTTGAAACTCGGGTGGCAACACGTCAAATGCACTCCGGGCCTTCCCCTGCATGAGACCGGACGGGCCGGGTTCGCCACGGGTTCTGCTTTTGTAATGAGTGACATACGGTTCCGTCGGAGCTGACGCACCTGACGTCATGGGTAGGCTTTGAGTGGCCGCCTGTAACCCCATCCTTCTTGATCCGGGACGCAACGACTCCGGGAAGAAACAGGTCGGAATGCTGGGGACAAGGGTCATTTCAGGGACGAGTGGCGTGTAAGGTATCACTTGAGAGATGACGGTGGGTTGTGACTCTCCGGCGGGTGAGAGGCCCAATGTGAGGGATATAGGCTCGGGAGCGATGGTGGGTGTGTCCGTTGCCGCCGGAGTGGACTCCAAATCTAGCCTCGTGATCACGGGCATGAGATCATTCCTTCGGTTGCCCCTAGAGTTAGATGCAATTGAGACTGCTGACTGAACTTGGGATCGTAGTAGATCGTTCTCTCGTTGGAGATGTGCCACCCTTTCCGCCAACTCCCGGCGAAACTCTGTCCGAACCGCCTCCATTTGAGCGTGGATTTCCTCCAACAAAGGGTTGTTTCCTGTCATGGTTGATGATCTTTTCTTGCGCGAGGCCCCACGATGGGCGCCAAATTGTTTAAGCAAGAATTAAACTAATCTAAAATTATAATCAAAGTGAGGGCTCGTGCAAAAGATCAATAGAATGAAATCTGAATGATAAGAATTTTATATAATCCGATCGATATTTGTGTATGAATACAATAGCAAAAGAATGATCTGATTAGCCTCCATCCTCCTATTTATTCTAACGTTTTATCCCTTGGACTCCAGCCCAACTGTCCAACGAATGAGCCCCTCTTCCTACTCATGCGGAGGTTGTTATTTGCTCCTCTTCTCCCGCACGCAGTTAGGAGTTCGTTTCTACAACTTATCTTTCCACGTTTGCTTGGCCTTATCTGCTCAGTCTGCTTCTTTGTTTAACTAGGCTTCGGTTCTATCTTCGATTCTTTGGGCTTTATCATTTATCTTTTATCAGAAATGGGCCGAACCGCTACTGTATCTCCACGCCCCAACAGTTGCTCCTTATCAACATTAATACTCTATCTTCACAATCCTATCTAATTCATCTATCAATAAATGATTTACAAATAATATGATGTACAATTTATCGTTATTACGATTGTCCCCTTTCGAGAAGTAGATGCGTATGATGCACGTGTCGAGCCGTTAAGCAGCAACTTGTCGAAATTTTGAAAGAACTTATGTTTCACATCTTTGATCATTGTGCCTATCAACTCGTCATATCTTCATCCATTTGGCAAAGCTTGTCAGTCAATCCGTCACTCTTCAGACGAGATGCACCTATCAACTTGTCATCTGTCTGATGGAACACGCATATTGATCCGTCGTATGTCTAACGGAATGCCTTTGTCACCTTCTTCACAAGTTGTTTGTGATCGAATCTGTCACTGTGACTAAGAGAATGTTGTCGCGCTAATGACCAAACATAGTAAATTGTCATCTCGTCCATTGATGCTTCAGTTGGATAATGGTGACTTCGTCCCTTGTTGAGTGGGTGACAAGTGTGACTCCATGAGTGTGCCGATGTCCTACAAAAATATTAAACACCATTCCGTTTGTAGTCAACCTAAACATGCATGTTTAAAGCTGGTTTGAATTTCATTCGTGTCAATGTCATTAGTGTCGTCTCCTTCTGTTTTGGAGTGTCTCGTTGTTTATGTTATGCTTTTTGAGCATTCTTTTCTGTAGTGTTTATATTGTATAGTTTTGGCCAAAACGTTTGTAGAGACTTCGTGGTGTTTGCACTCATCTTTATAAGAGATGAAAACCCATTTCTTCCCTGGTAAGCCCCATCATTTATGTTTTGATATTTCCGTAAGGCCTAAGTAAGACCCGTCATTTATATTTTGACGTTTCGGTAAGACTTTTAATTATGTAAGCCCCGTCATTTATGTTTTGACGTTTTGTAAGGCTTTGTGTGACATGTGTTGAGTCATCGTCCTCTTTGTTGTTGACTAGTCCTGTATAAAAAGAATTTGTCAAGGCCGGCCATTGGCTAGAATCCAACGGCCCTCTGATGCTTAAGTTAGTGATCACTTATATGTAAAAAAAGGTAATAAATTAAGAATGAACAAACTTAAATGTACCACATTCCGACTTGTCAAAACCTGTCTGTCGTCTTGAACTTTCAAGCAATGTATCTCCATCTGACGACTTGAATCATCTCGTCAATTCGTTCTGTCATGGTTTAATTTGATGACTCGTTCTTGAGGCCTTGAATAGGGTTTCTCAAATTTGTAATCAAGACTCTTGAAAGAGTTTGCTTTCTGTTGACCTTCTTCGTACTCGATTTGTCTGCGTCGGGATCGCAAATCTTCTTCTAGACAGATAAAAGCTAGTGTCTTCGCTTGGATGTCTTCGATAGATCGACATGGGTATTTTCGTCAACTCTCAATATAGCTCAGGATCATTGAATATGCCTCTCCTGAATGCCTCAATCATCGCTGTGTAACTCTATAAAGCTCATTGGTTTGTCTCTCCAACACCTTACTGCTCGCGAGGTGCTGCTTAAAAAGATTGACGAGTTGGGAAAACGAATTGATGCCAAATCCTCAACACATACATGTTTCTCTTTGTTTTGGTCTGATGGAGATAGTTGGCATATTTTGTTTGTTTACCCCGATATGTTCTCCACGATCTGAAGTCCCGTCAAACGGTTCCATGCTTGGTATGTCAAATTTCTTTGGCATTTCAAAATCGGTGATTGAAGCGTCAAAATGGGACTCGTCATAACACATCTGAGACGCCATGTCAAGAGGGGGTGGGGGGACTCCGGATATTCCGTTGATCTTCTCTTCCATCTGCTGTAGTTGGGCCAAAATGAAGGACATGGGATCCGTCATGATCTGAGAGGTTTTCGTAAACAATTTGGAGCTTGCTGTCCCAACGGTGCAATTCCTTACCACGTAGAGCAATTCTGGCACTAATATCCCATTTGGAGCTTCTGCAAATAATAGCTAGCCCGCCGGCATTCTTCTTCCCGTTTTCAAATCTAAACGACATGCGCCCAATCGACTGATCGTGATTCGCATGGCTAGATGATCACTGGCAGGCGCCTCCAATGATTCCGCATGACTAGAAATGTCTAATTTTTCTTGAACCCATGCCTCAGTACCACGTCCCCGCTCCCAGGTCCAGCGATACAAGAGCCCAAATTTTTTAATTCACTCCACAATTTTCACTCCACATTTTAATTTAATTCTAAGCCCATACGCACATAACACGGCCTTCTCCTTCATCTGCGACTTAATTTAGAGCGAGAAGCTCCACACGCTATCTACGACTGCGACCATAGTAGTACCAAGCTAGCAAGCGACACTCATAGCAAGTAATTAAGCACATGACTAAGGTAGAATTGGAAATCAAACCACCGGACATGAGCGACGCAAGTCGCCACCGAAAAAACTAAAACCCTAGATAACTAGGTACCAGACCGCCGGAAGATTGACTTGTTTTCAATTGATATCGGCCCATTTTTAATTTAAATGAATAATGTTTTTTTTTCTAAAGGAAAAACTGCTTATATTAATATCATTACGATTCGGATCGTTACATCAAACTCCAAGAGACCAACACTGACAACAACTTTCTGTAACCAACTATCAACATCAATCCCACAACTAAACTTAGAAACGATCATCCCTGAAAGAGCAATACGAATCGTTAACCACCAAACGGGTGTGACACAACAATCACTAGTCATATATATCCTTCTAACGACATAATACGGTTAATACCTAACAGAATTGTCAATCATTATTGTAAACCTAAAATTAAAGACATCAACGAAAAACAGAGAAACGTAAACAAACATAACGCGAAAATAAAATCATGAGAAATAAAATAACTGATAAAACCAAACTCCTTCCAAGCCCTGACACCTTGATCGCTCCAAGGCGACGGTTCGAGAGGGGGGCGGGCCATCGATCTGTCTTCTCCCTTGTTCAACCTTTTACCGCTCCCCGTCTGCTCATCACCCGTGCTGCCTCTTGATATGTCTTCGTCCGTGATAATCTCAAGATTGTGGCCTTGATGGCTGATGCACCAACTCCTCCATTGGACATTTGGACTAACGCAGAAAGCTTCAACGCACGCTGTCTCCTTGAAATGCATGAAGACCCAACCCCTTCCTACTTGTATATCTCACTCTTCCATGCGCTGATAATTATCGAAGCATAAGAAGAGAAAAAAACCACTCACACAATCAACGGAGATCGACAAGAAAACAAAACCCTACGTAAAGGGACACAGCCGCAACTCTCTAGAGAGAGAATTAGGGTAATGAATAATGTTAGAAAATAAAAGGGTAGTGATGTTCAATATAAGAAACTTTTCATACTCGGTGTTTTATAGGAAGTCCAAAATAAAGTGCATCGTGCAAGGACTGCAAGGCATCACAATATATCTGTACAATACCATTTTGTACTATTCATGTATACAATACATTTATACCATTTAAGAAATACCATTTTGTACTATTTATTTAAACAATACAAACTAATACGTAATGCTTTATTATCAGAAAATTATATCAAGTGTTATATAACCCCCAAAAAGTGCTATAGATAGACCTTATTTCTTAAAATTAAAGCTTAAAATGGAATTCAACTAGCGCCCAACCTCGTCATACACTCAAATTAATTATTCCCAAAAGAAAAATTTTACTAATACAAAAGACGTTAAATAGTTATTACAAGAATCCTAATTATAAAAGGAATTAATTGCTAACTAACAAGCTGGCTAATACTCAAATGAGGACAATAATTAAATAATTATTATTATTACAGCGCCTAAAACAACAAAATAGGTAAGGATCATTCCTTCACTGCGCCTCCTTACCCATTTGGTTCACCAATGGGTCCCGGCCCAGTGTCTGCTACCGAGCCTGGATTCTCAAATTGGGCATGTATATGAGCTGGTGATACGCTTGCCTCCATAACACTATATTGGAGAGAACTACTTACTGACCATGATTCATTTTACCAGATCCAAAGAACTCAATCATTTGCATGCCTCTGCCAGCAACTGCAATCTGATAATGGTCCCTATGTATAAATTATGTCATTAGCATAAGATTTGATAAGGTAGATAACCAAAACCCACAAGGAATTGGCTAAAGATTATATTGACATGACTAAAACTGGAGATTCTGCCCCCCTCTCCGCATGTGTTCTCAAACAACAACAACCCATGCATGTCTTTTGGGGTTCAGATGTAATCACCGTGCAGAAAGGATTGGATTAGCAAATGCACTCAAAAGTCAGAACAATCGAGATTGACAATTCATGCTATGGGGTTTACCTGTTTTCACATGGCATAGCATCCAATGCCTCGGGCTCTGGCACGCTAATCACTAGATGAGCACGCTCTAAAAGTTTCCCTTGTTTGATATTCCAACATCTAACACGCTGATCAAGACCAGTAGAAAATACCCATGTACCGTCTGTCCAAACACCTGTGTACACACACAAACACACACATATCAGGCATCATCTGCAAGCTTAATTCTCAGTTTGCTCTGGAGAAAGGCACACTTTGTCAGAGCAAAGCATGCTGCAGTTGTAACTTGCACTTGCACCATTGCTTGGTTGAAGTCAATAAGTCTAGCATTTTGCACAAATTCGGATGAAAGATCCCTTACTTACAGTCAATAAAGCCCTAAAGACAATGTGCAGGGATTTTTTAGACCTTTTCCATGAATAGTACTAAATTAAATTCAAAAGACAAAAATATGACTTATTTTAAAATTTCCCAAAAAACTGACATATTCAGTGACTAGTTTCCAATGACTCCATCTACAGGTGACTTGTCACTCTGAAATACACTATAGTGTATCAAAACAAAATGGAACATCATGTCGTAATCATCGACATTAACTAAAATTTGAGATGTTAATAACAATAGTCGGGGCAATGAACACAAAAAAATAGAAATGATTGGACAGGTGGGGGAAAAACATTGTAAAGTAATGTGTGGATGGCATACCTTTAACAGCAGACGAGTGAGCTGAGATGATCTTATCAACCGATAGAAGCCTCATTTGATGGTTTCGAATTCGAAAATAATAAATGATATTTTCCAAATCTTGTGATGCGGAAGGGGAGACATCTGCCTCCAAATTTGGAAGTTCCAAATTTTGGGTAGAAGTGAAAGCGAATGTAAGACAGTTAATTGACTGATCATCGCCTCCACTTATAACACAGACCCTATAAATTGAATCAGAAGCTATTGGCGCCTCGGCATTTGAAACATGAAGACAGTTTACACCTGACTGGTGTATATTGTTATAGACATGCAGGGGTCCTATTTCGCAAATGCTCAGGGATGGGATGTTCCTTCTCTCTTTCATACAGACTGATGATGATGCATCATTCTTACCTCGAGAACAAACACGCGTGTTTTGTTCGGTATGGAAACATCCAACTACAGTGTCCACGTCATCACAATAGTTTTGTAAAGGCATATCCCTTTTCACCACAGAAACATTTTCCTGGTTTTCTTCTCTAAAAGAACGATCAGTCAACAACAGCTCACCAACTGTGCTTTTTCTCTTGGAGACATGACTACTAAGTGATCGCCACCGTCTTCCACCTTGGCTTCCTCTGCCTGTACGGGGTCTTTTCTGATCATCTATACCTTCTAAAATTTCAAGGCCAGGCAGTAGTCGCATAAAGTTCTCAACATGCTCGGTGAGATCCCAAAGTGAAATACTTCCATCTGTCGATCCACTAATTACAATATACAGATCTCCTGTCTGTATGTTGTCTGTTTAAACCAGATTAGATCCAATCAACCAAACTGTATTAACAAAAGCTAAATGAAGACTGCTCATAGAACTACCCAATCAAGGATGCAAAGAAAAACATTAACAGAACAATACCAAGCAGGTTCCAATGATGGAATAAATAAACAAAACCAAGCAAAAATGACCATCACAATCTTGACTTAGACTAAAGGAGAACCATGAAAATAGTTGAAATAAAATAGGAGGGAACGTCAATAATTTCTCGAGAACAACATCAAAGTTCCAGGACAACTGCTTGAGGAAAAGTGGTGGGCTTGTGGTGAACTAACCTTCACATAACGAATGCATAGGAACTATGACATGCTGTAAAGATAGAACAGGATGTGATATGGGAGTCAACATAGCAACATCAAACCTAGCAATCATTGAATAAAACCAACATAAATTAGGACCAAAGATGTGCTGCTCCATCTTGATTTTGTAGAGAATAAAGGAGAAAGTAAACTGGGAGCTGGCAGAGAGTCAGGAAACTTTGCATACCACAGTCGATGGGGTAATACCAGCGCCCGAAATGAAAGTGTAGCGTCTGAGCAGGCAACTACTACGAAGCACACTGTTGCCCTGAATATGGAACAAGTCCATTTACTTTCAGATGTACATTTACATAATACTTTTTGGGTACATCGGAAAAACACTTGCATAAATGTTAAACAAGGAGCTAATTGTAGATTTACTGACCTTGAGCCTGATCCTTTAGCAAGGAATGCAGTAACTGCGAGATATCTCCAATCATTTTCACATTTATCTACAAGGTGAAGTTCTGATTCCACTTTCATGTCTTTCGGTGAAAGTGGTTGGACATTTTCAACAGCTTCAATTATCTTCTCAGTATTTTCATGTAAACAGTTGTTATTTCTGGTAGGCATATCACTAGAAAGCCACTGGAATGAAAGATGAGACAACTTTTTGGAAGGGGAGGGGCCATGAGAGGTTATTCCATCTCCGTTTTCATGTTCGCAGTATTGAGATTGCATAGTTTCTTCTATTGACCTAACTTTTTGTTTCCATGCAGTTATTACCCTTTTTGCACCTACTGACACCAGTAATACAACATTTTCTTGGTTCTCTAATTTTCCGATTTGTGTGTGCATGCTCTCAGATACATCAGTTGCCTTCACCGTGACTCTATGAATCTTTGAAAGCGTGCATATTGACCTAACCGCTGATCCACCAACATGTTCCCCCAGCAGCATGGAAACTGACCAACTCTCAGTTTCTGGTTCATACCTGAAAAGCCATGATAATCAAATTGCAATAACACCATCAGCACATTTAACTACAGTCACAATGACATAATAATCTATTTGTTTCAAAACAACAACTAAAATGCAAGTAAATCAAGTCTTTTTCACATCTTCGGTATCTAGTAAATACACTTCAACAAAAGTTGGACCAAGAGTCTGAGTCCCCCACTACACAGGTCTAGACTCTAAAGAGGAAAGATATCCGCAACCTGACATCTCTTATTATGAAACATCAGTTGGGATCGCTTGTTGATGCTTTCTTTTGCAAAATTTACCGTTTGTAGTTGGTGAGTTGCATGCATGTCCATTAGAGGAAAAAGTTGCATTTAGCCTCATAAACAACTACTTTTATTGATATATGACTTTCACCTTACTACTTCATAGTTTCTAAAGACTATTACATTAAGTATATTGACAAATGATGGGCACAGACCACATAGGACCAAAAGGAACAGGAAGTTTAAATCCTAAACTTAATGAGAATAAGAAACTACCACGTACAATGCTTCTAAAACTAAAGCTTAGTATACTACTGTATGCATATTAATCTTATTAGGTGTATGTAGGCACAAGATAGCAAGATACAAATACCCTAACTTATACACAGCCATGAAGTTACCGAGACCTATATCTCCATGTTAAGGTAGATTTAATACACCGCTAGATTAAACATCATCTGCATATCCTAAACTTGTTTGGTCTGTAGTCAATTCTAGGGTTTGTCAATTACTTGATATAAATGTCAACATGGTCAGAAATAATTAACGAATAAAGTCGCAATCAATGTCAATATATTTACTCCTCTTGCAAAGATTAGCATTTGGACCACAGGATTGTTTGCAAGTCTATAGTCAACAATCGAGCATACCAATGTCTTCTAGTTCACCCAGGGCATACTTCCTTTGTGATTGGAAATATTTCACTGCCGGACTACGCCACTTCAATAACATGGAAGTTTTTAGTGTTCCTAAATCCTTAGTCTGGAATTGGCAAAAGAGATGCCCGTTCAGTTGAGTAATACCCTATGAAGAATGGGTACTCCATTTCATTAAAAGTACTTGTATTGGGTATATTTGGGTACAGGTATGCCTTAGTACACACCAAAGTATTGTTTAGTACGTCTAGGGGTATGCAGCTTACAGTCAAACCGGTGTAATTTAGGATAGTTATTTCTTTCGTTATCCTTTGTCTTTTTATATTTTTCTATTCTCTATCAAAACCCTAACCTTCTTTCGTTCATTCTAGTTGTATACATTCACCTTCCACCACAAATAACCTCATGTGAACACGCAGCTTTCTTTACAGTCTTCAGCAACTGCATCCCAAGTTCCCAACAAATAGGGGTTTCTTTTAGTTTTTAGTTCCACCCATGTTTTGCTTGAGTTATTGTAGAACAATCTATCCTTGTTTTATTTTAAAGTAGGCATGTTTCTAATTTATCATATAAAGATTTAGCTTTGATTTTACAAAACTTTTGCACGTCATACCAATATGAGTACCCAATACTCTAGTACAGATACCATACTCCGTTACTCATAAACGTAGGGGTGGATTCGGTTCGGTTCCTGGACCGAAATAGAAAAATTCCAAACCAAACCGAACATTCGGTTTCTCAAATTCTCTAAGCCGAAACCGAACCGAATAATAATCAAACCGGATTTTTCGGAACCCGATTTTTCGGGTCGGTTTTTCGGTTTTTACGAAAACAGAATAAATTTTGAACTATTGCCTGAAGAGTGGCAGGGAAGCAAGACTTAGCTCGCCTGATTCAAATCCTTACCGAAGAGCCGCATATATAGGGAGCTAGGAGGACTAACTTCTCTGTTTCAACCGGTGCGGGATAATTTGGAAGGGTTTAGAAAAATTAAATGTGGAATGTGAAGTAGATGGGATTCGAACACGGGTGAAAAGTTGAAAGCGGAAGGAGATGTCTTCCCACAACCGCTGAACCGCATCACAAACTTGTTTAGAAACGGACTTTTAACATATTTATTACGTATAAGGTGCGGAATATATATAAATATATAACACTTAATAAAAATCGGTTCGGTTCGGTTTGAACCAATTTTAAACCTCTAAAAACCGCCTTTGAACCGATTGTTTTTCAGGTCCCGACTTTCGGGTCCCGTTGTAGTCGGTTCGGTTTCGGTTCGGTTTTTATAGCTCGGTTTGGGTTTTTTCGGTTCGGTTTTCGGTTTTTCGGTTTAAAATGCCAGCCCTACATAAACGTGCAGCAAAGGTAATGCATTCTTCATCACTACATATGACAATAATATCATCAAACATAAATCACAGAACAGATGCATTTTTCAGCAGTTGAATGTGACAGATGACAAAACAAAAAATAGTCAACTTCACTTCGAGTCATGCCAAACTCAGAACCTTCAAAGCTAAAACGTCCAAACATGTACATACACATATCCGGGTTAAGATGCTCTTCACTTTCATCTTTTTGAAACTCTAATATGCCTGATTTTGTCACTATCATTTCTATCAATCATTGTTTACAGGAATCTCCAAAATATCAGAAGAGGATTGTAGAGGTGCGACAAGCATATTCTAAAACATAATAGCTTGAAAATGTGAAAACTTAATGGAAGGACAGTTGGTTTATCTAGAGAAGTTGGCCCAAAAAGGATGCCAGAACAGTGTTTTTGGTTGTCAAGATAATGTTCTAGATAGCAGGAATCATTTTTCCCATGGCCGAGAAAGGATGGATCCGCTTGTTTTCCAGAAAGAGATGGTCTGACGCTTCGCTTTTGTGAGGATAACACAGCATTACAAACAAGCGTTACAAGAATCACAAACTACTCATTAAGACTTACGAGTATGATAAAATTCAAAGCAGCAAAACATACTAAAGGTAAACTGAGATGCCTACAATATATAATAAACAGAACTATTGCACCTTGTCAATCGCACAGTTCCATCTTCACAGCCTGTTGCAATCCAGCTATGTTCAAAAAATTGACACCCTTTTCCACTTGGGTTGCGCAGCGATGGATCCGGGCGAATGAAACATAAGGAATGTATCTCCCTTCCATGGAATTGCAAATGCAAATTTTTTGGGTACACCTTCCTCTCATTCCCTGTCACCCAATACCTTTCAATATTAATGATTCCATCCTGCAAAAGAAAATGCCATGTATATTGTCCAACAAGGGCACATGGAAAGTAATCACAAGCATTAAACACATGCTCACATATAAACAAAAACTAAACAGAACTTTGTGGAGAGTCCACAGGCTAGGTCCCTGCATAACTAGTTCAAGAGACTCCAAGAGTAATTTTGGTTTACATATATCATGTATGTGTTTGTTCATTGTTGTACCCATTTGCTCCTGTGTGGGACATATATCCACCACTTTCTACACATCCAATTCCCACTGCCTCTTTCTATATAGTTGATAAAGGTTCACTTTTGGGTATGAGCCGATACATGATACAGTCCAATCTATTACTTCCATGTACTTGAGAATAATCCAAGAGCAGGATTATCTTCTTTCATAGTTCAAACCCGTTTATGGAACGTGAAAAAAATAAATGCGGAAACAAAAATAGATAAATAAATCAATAAATAAATAAAAACAACCTTCACAAATGCAAAGCAATTCCTCATCTCAGGAGAATGACCGAGATAATAAGAATGAGGCCGCCTCCAACCACCGCATGATACCTGTACAACCTGTTCCAATACACACATAATATGAGTTCGAAGAAGAGAAAATTACATGTTGGGGTGAGGGACAGAGGGTGCTACCTTTCTTTCAGAACTTAAATTCCATATTATAAACTCTGATGATGTAAAACCTATAGCATAGCTACCACTTGGAATATTGTAGTTGGCAGTGGAGTAGACTGAATGTACAGTGCTCAGTTCTTTGACTTGCTTGATTCCTGTAAATTCCAATTTTTTTCGATTTCTATCATATTCGAAGTAGCAGATGCATCCATCTCCTCCACTCTGAAAATCATAGAAGCGCACAAGTGTACAGATGGCAATTGGCAAAGTAGTATAATATAGAATGAAGAAATGTTCTTTTAGTGAAATGGAAAGTTGGAAACCATTTTTAGTAATTCTGCTCGTCGTTGTAAATAATATTTTCAAGGCAGAGAACAAATCCAGAATGGATGGGCCTTACAGAATATATATCAAGTTGACTAGGAATAGACCCCGCAATCGAAACACTACAAACTGTTGATATTCCATGAGCTCCTTTGAAATAAGTCAGTGGAGATACATTCTCTTCTGAAGGTAAAGGTTTAGCATTTACTAGATCCTTTTTCAAAGGAAACAGCAACACATTTCCACGGATATCTCCACACACCAGCACCTGTATACAAAATAGACAAACTTATGAGAAGAATAGCAATGATATGAATATTCTATATAATATGAAAACCCTTCATATCAAAATAAACAACAAAAGTTATTGTTGTATTGGTAATACGCCTAGAACCGCTTAAAATGTGTATACTTTGTTGCTAAGGAAATGAAAGATTAACATATTGGAATTACAAACTTATTCTCCCTAGTGAAAATTTTCATTTTTATTATGATATTTGACTTCATTGAAACGCCTAAGTAATAGACTTGGAAAACTGCTAGATAGAGAAATAATAACTGGGATTAACCTCATCGTCCAGTGATGCATCCAAGCAAATGATCCGCATTCCGAAACAAGAGACAAATCCATATACCAGTTCTGCAGTAAGAACTCCCTCTACATGAGAAGCAGAAAACAGAGGGTTCCATAGCCTCCAAAGCTTCAACCTCCCTCTAGGATCCACAGTGAAGATGAACCTATACGAGATACAGGCCTCTGAATTTTTGTTTTTATAATTGAACAATGAACGCTCAATGTTTTTAGTGTAAGCACTCATTCAAGCCTAGAATAATTAAAAACATTTGATTTTGGATCTAGCGGCTGATAGATAGTAATCATGCATGGATACTATTTTTGTAACTTAACAATTAATGCGTGCATATTTTAGTGTAAGCATTAAATGCAAGTTACAGTGGTCATAATTGTTTGATTTTGAGTCTAAACTTGAAAGTCAGTACTTTGTGGAAGTACTTACTGAAAAACCACGCCATATATAAAGCAATAAAAACCACGAACAGATTAACTATGCCTTTTCTAGTAAACTTGAACACACTCCTATAATAAGTCGGAGAATCAGTGCTTCTATGTAGACTACTGACTACCTACATCCGAGAGCATAAAATTGTTTTTACAGAGAGATATGTTTCAAGGTTCAAAATCTATGGATATATTAGTCAATATCTGAATCAACTCGGAGAGATTAATTACCTACATCCTAAAGACTGGCACCAGTAAATCCCCAAAAGCTGCCTCTCAATTTCAGCAGGCCAGGTTAGAGAATGGTTTACTTTAGGGTTATAAACATCACCAGCAATGTGGGCAATCATCATTCTACCTTTGCCATCTCCAATGGCAATCCAATCATCAGTTTCACAAGGCTCAGACTCATTTGATAGGACGTTCATACAAATAATTGGTGCATCCCCCCCAACGTGGAGAAGTTTAGTCCATCTAACATGCCCTGTATGATGTAGTTTAGCATGGTACACATAGCCATTGTTTGTTGCAACATAAAGAGAATCTTCGCGTGAAAAATGCAAACAACGAACATATTCACTCTTGCTGCAAGAATTCATAAAAAACACCCCATATACAGGGGTAAGTTAACGCTTTCAGCAATCTATCTAATGAGATGATAATATAGCTTTTGTAAGTAAATGAATATAAGTAAATGAACATAGTAAACCATGACAAATCATCAAAAGGTCATGCAGAAACTACTGAAATGAACTAAACTATGATGATGGTGGTGGTGGTGATTAAAATATAATAAAAACTCGAAGTCATCGAGTAATTCTTCCCTAGCCTAAGCAATGTATTTCATAGTCACACTGCTACCTATCCATGTGGCTGAAGAGCTCGGTAGAATTTGGAATATAAATTTTGAAGGCCTCCTTTTGATTAAATGATAACTCCAATGCTCCAACAGTTTTGCCCAAACATTCAGGAGATGCATGCAGCTGGTGAACCTTTATGGAAGAATCAAAACCTGCAGTAACAAGCAGTGAAAAACTAGGATCATAGGCACACCGCCATACTCCTCGTCCGCTGCATAGTAAAAAGGTGATGAGCTATAGGAAACTAGCACATGTTGAGGCACAAAAGCTGCAATTGAATATCTTGGTGCTCTACAAGACATCAATAAAGATACGACAGACAATCTTTATAAAACATCGTGAAAATACATGCCAGTTCACATAGCAAATTATTTACGAATACTTACATGTGCTCTTTGATCAAATTAAGCTGTGTGCCATCCAGCCCCCATACACGACATGTACAGTCCTCTCCAGCAGTAACAATTAACTGAGTAAAGTCCCCCAAAAGGGGGGGCCAAAGTCATGATTCAAACAAGAAATATTCCAAGAGGAAGAGACGACTCTAAAGAATGTATGTAGGTCATCACCATCATCCCTATAGTTAATGCTTTAAACTAATGCAGACAAGTGCAGTAGCAAATTTTTATGCCAGATGCAAGTGTAGTACAGATTACACAAAGGTATTTCTGGAACTTACAAGGTCAAAAATACAGCAATCCCAAACCCTTGCAGTGTGACCAAATAGAATAGAGCTGACACATTGAATACTGCCCTCTGCAAGATCATGCAAACATTTGCACTCCCCAAGTGCCCAAACACGAGCACTGCAGAAGCCAGGATCAAAACTTATCATTCCAGATGAAATTGCATTTTAATTTATTATAAACTCAACATGGGAAAATGACAGGCACCTACCTTCTATCGTCAGAAACAGATACTACTTTTGATCCATCAGGTGACCAAGCAAGGCGAAAAATAGAACCTTCATGTCCAGTCAGTCGGTATAAATTAATAGCTCTATATGGCTGGAAAGGAGACATACTGCCCTTCTCGTCAGCCAGGTTTCCGTGATGTACAGCAGGAACATCACTCTTACAATCCAATTTCCATACAATGACCTGCAAGGTGACAGTAATCATTTCATTTTCATTTACCCTAGTGCCGCAAAGGCTCCCACCTACGGTGGGGTAAGGGGGGGTCGGATGTACGCAGTCTTACCCCTGTACTAAAGCACAGAGAGACTGTTTCCGGATGACCCATAGTGAAAATCGCGTCCAAAATTGCATGGACTGACTGATGCTCCATAACAAAGAAGCGCAGACAGTTTAGTGAGTCATTTTGCTTTATTCCATCATAATCTCAAGCCAAAAAATAATGAATCTTTGGCTCCATTGCAAATGATGGAAAGTGCAAGGTGACAGTAATGACTTTAAATAATGAAACAGATGGATTGGAGGAAATTTCAACAATAAAACTGCAGCAATTTCTACAAGAATCACACTAATTGGTTATTGCGAGTTCGCAACCTGATGAAAATGTCAGCAATGACCATGACGCAAAATGATTTTTCTAAATATCTAACGCGGTGGCTCATTGATCTTCACCTTGTACCACCTAGATGAAGCCCAATATCTCAAGCAACCCCTTGCTAATGCATTACATAAAATGAGAAATTGATAAAAGGATAAGAGAAAAGTAAAAATAAATGCATTTACAGTCAGAGAGGATAATGGTGAGGCATTATGCAAGTACAAACAGGGCAATATGCAAGCCAATTTGCACTTTATGTCGTAGGTTTTTGTTTTTTTAATTGTACAGCACAGTAATGACTAATGATTAATGAAACTAGTGAATATAATGGACACAAGTTATCAGTATATCTAAGCAACATGCGAGTTTAAATCAAAAGCTATGTATGTGTCAGAAGCCAGCATTTCACAAAGAGATGAGATGATGGGTTACTGGGATTAATTTATTTATGAGCTAAGCTAAACCAAATATGCATATTTTTATATAATAATTTTACATTCTCATTTTTTATGAATCAAGTACTGTATTGATATATCAAGTAGGTATATGTTAGTTACCTCATTAAAAATTGTACCTGATGCCACAAGGAGGGCACCAATTTCCTTTCCCCAGATACACATTGAGTATAGCAGGCACCTCTCTACAAAATAAGTAAACACTCCATTTGATCAATAAGAACAAAATGTTAAGGTAGTAGATATCACGTGTAAGGAGTAAGGACTAAGGATAACTGTACAATGCTTAAGGCCTTAAATATAGTTTATTTTGTTTTAAGAAAGAGAAAAATGATGAACCAACCTGAACAGCTTACTTGAGAAAGCACCTTACAGCTCAAAATGTCCCACAAATAAATAGAGTTGTCACTGCATCCAATTGCAAGACCAGGCTTCCCCTGCTCCTATTACAAAAGAAAAAATATGAAGAAGCAAGTGAGTGCAAATAGGATATATGCAATGTTTTGTTAGTATATGGATTACAAAAAATAACACTCTGTTTGAATAGGGTGAACCTATGTAAATATATTGAACTTAAGTCAACTTGGGTTCAGCGACAACTGAATGAACCAAGTTGAATCCTGGTATATATGTGTGCATAAGAACGTTGTTTGAATGACTATGACTTAACGGTGAATGCAGTCAAAGTTTGTTTTTATATAGGTTAGTGAACAAATCAATATTACTCACAGTGAAAAATATGTCTCCGAAAGTGGAAACACTGTTTTTTAAAGTTCTTCAAAACTGGGTTATTGTTTGGAGGTTCTCTCAAATTATATTCAATGAGGAGAACCTAGCATTAAAAGAAACTAGGTTCACCGAGATACAAATAGACCATAAACCCATCAATATGTATATTATACATCTGAATGTATAATGTGAATGACACATATTGATCAAGTGAGGATTTTTCTGACACAATGAACATTTTCAAATACAAATTGAGCATCTTTTAAATTAAAATGAGTATTGTCGTCATCATCATCATTACCCCAGTGCCGCAAAGGCTCCCACCTACGATGGGGTGAGGGGTGGGTCGGATGTAGGCAGTCTTACCTTGTACTAAACTACGGAGAGATGTTTCCGGATGAACCATAGTGAAATTCGTGTCAAAAATAAGTATTGTATTGAATGAAAAATGAACACACGGCAAAAAAGTTTAATTTTGATGGAATGAGCATTTTGTAGTTACTAAATTAGCAAATATTCAGAAAAGTTACAAAAATATCCTGATGACGATGTACGATATAATATTCCTTAGCCCAAAAGTAAGATGGGTTACATGGAAGAAGACAACGTCCAAAACCCAATGGCTTAGTCTTGGCACAGACTGCACAAGAGTCAGTGACAAATGAAGATATTCCCCTGAGTTAGTACGGGAAGTGAGCATCAAACTGAATAATTTAACTCTTCTCTCTCCGAAAACAGCAATCCTGAAGACGGCAGTGGAATCAGACGAGTGATCAGTGGAAGACGCCAAAGAAATTCCATGCACTCGAATTCCGTCGAAAACTTGAAAGGATCTTAACATGACCCCAGTGGCCAAATTGTAGACCATTAGTTGAGAACCAGTTCCTGAATGTACAAGAAAGGGATTAAAATTAGCGGCCGAATAGCGTATGGCAACTGAAATTTTGTTTGGTGCTATCTCATTAATAATTACGTAAGAAAATAAATGAGGCGACAGGGACCTGCTAGAAGGTAGGGAAGAGAGGAGAGGTGAGGAGGAAGGTGGACAAAACACAGCGCAGAGATTTCGCCCAGGTACTGCCCCCTTCGGAGACTCCACTCCTTGTCCTTGTGCTCAATCATGGTTTCTTAGTTGCAAAAGCTATTAAAGCAAGAAGACGTGCTTTGGTGCAGTGGCAGTGGTAGGGGTGGACTGGTTCTTAGCGATACGATCCGCTTCAGAATTCAGTAAGGGGAAATTTAAATCGGAATTGGAGCTAGATTTTGGGTCTCCACAATTGGAGCTAGTAGGGGTGGACTGGAAACTTCTTTTTTTGATGTCCACAGATTTTAAATGATTTTATAGGATTGTAGAATCTACGAATTTTAATGGAATTCTATAGATTCCATAAGATTCATATGGAATTCTATGGAATTCTATTTTATGGAATAATATGGATTTCAATAGATTTTAATAGATTTGAATATAAGCTGGTGCAAACCCCTACCCTAATTTCCAGCCCCCACGCCTGCTCAGCCACTACAAACCGGCGTCGGAAAAGTCGTCGGATTATATTTTGATAAAAAAAATTATTCGATCTTTTTATTTAATTCATTGGGAAATGTTAACGATAAATTGGCTTCAATCTAGTCATATTTAAGGAAAAACATCAAATTGAAATATAACAAACTACAAAATTGATATTTAATCCATAATCAAAGCACAACCTTAAACAATTAGGAACCGTACTAAAGTAACAAAAGGAATACATTCAATCTATGTAATCTTCATTGATAACATCTTTGATACTCCTTGTATGTCTTTTGACATCCAAGCTTTTCATTCAGCATCGGGAGTATTTTAGATTCAACAATTTGTTTAGTAATCAGTCCACTACAATCACGCCATCCACGTTGAGCAGCCTCAACCAAAAGATCTAGTAATAAAGAACTTTCTTTCTTCAGTACTCCACGCATTATACACAGCTTTTTCCTTTCCTTGCAAATCACCCATTGTAGAACTACAAAGAAGTTATAGTTATTAAACATAGGAAATATGTTTTAATAATTGCAAAACCCAAATAGCCAACCAACAAAGTGGAACGTTGACAACGCTTGATCCTTGTGTTTTGAAAATTGGGTTTGAGCTTAAAACGATTTCATTTTTTAGATATTTAGAAGTTAAATTTTAAATAGGATATGGTTTCTAGTTTACTGATAAGAATTATGATTTTGTACATTCGTAAAACTACTGTTAGTATATACTACATATATGATTCCAATAGCACACAGCCCACTAATTGTTTATTCTTTTCACAATTTATTTATGAATGCCATGTAGTTATCTATATATGTTCCTTTATAAAAAAAGCAGGAAGAAAAAAAAAGTTAAAAAGAAGAATGATGTTTCAAAGCTCACAACACATGAGTTTCAAAATCGTTGATGCAAAAGAAAGAACTCGTCAAAATAAGAGCAGGACTCATCAAAATATTCAATAGAGGGATCACAAAATAGTTAACCCCTACAGAACTAAACACCAAACAGTAAAGCCACGGATATTTAAAAAACATAAGCACTTGCACTTGTCTTAGAGCTCCTGAACTCCTTTTCTGTTAACACAGCCAAACTAACCACCTAGTAGAATTTGGGATAAGGGAATTTCAGTGGGCAATGGACCAGCACTCGTATCTTCACATTAAACATGACCCATCAATGATTGATTGTAGCCACTATGCAGTCACCGAGAATCATCCGTTCGTTGCATCGAAAATTGTTTTTTAATCAAAAAACATTGGACCCATTGGAGTAATAAAGCACTTCAATGAGTAAAAAAACTCCAAAACACACAAGGCTACAAACCAAGAAATAAAAATTGTTTCCTGCATCGTCGTTTAGGTCTATTGTTAAAACAAAGCATACAATCATTTGTTCAACTTCTTTAACCTGCAAAAACTCTGGGCTAGAAGATGGAAGAAGCTTCAGTAGAACTGATGCAGGAGGGAAGCTTGACAGAGGCGTTGGGTTGGAAGATGACAAAGGCGTCGATCGACCTGGCCAAGGGATTGAAACGTGTGCGGCTGTATTTTTTAAATAATGGATTTGAAATCAAAGGGTTGTGAGGGAGATCGTTGGTGGATTGGGTTATTCAATTTTTTAGCTTAGAAGTCCATCAAAACCTATCAAAGTCCATTACAATAATCCATAAGTAAAATCCATGGACTGTTTGAGGATTCTCAGATTTTAATAGACTCTACGAAAATCTAAGTTGAGGACATCTGGATTTGGATGGAATTTTAAACTCCATTAAAATCTTTTAAAATCCAAGTTGGGGACACCCCCTTTGTGTCTTGTTATGCCGATTGGATAGTTTTTAAGGCAACTTCTAGTAGGGTGGTCATAAGAACCGGACCAAACTTGGACCAAACTCGGACCAAACTCGTACTGAACAAACCTGTAATGATACCGAATAGAGTATCGTATATTTAAACGGTTCTAGATCGTATCATTTAAAACCGTACCGTTTGAAACGAGTACGGGACCGGTTCTAGATTTTGATTTAGTACGATCTACTAAACCCATTGTTCACTCGTGCCTCTCGTTTAAGGAAACCAATATTCCGTATAGATCTACATTTAATGCATGTTGATCAGCATGGCTTCACCATTAATTTAGCAATAAATGAATTGTACGAAGGGAAACTGGAACAATTTTAGCGGGACAAAGGGAGTAGAACTATGGGATTGCGTTATAGAAATAACAAACATTCCCATGAAATAAGCCCGGAACTTTTATGTATATAACCAGGGATTGACCAGATCTGAGTAGTCCTCGTCATCTAGGACCACCGTTGTCACCTCAATTGTTTTGAAGCGGAGGCGTGCCATCATATCCGCCACATGTTCGCAGAAGCCAGAAGCCCTAGGCACTCGCTCAGCATACCCGCCTACCACTATCTTCCCTTATCAAACTGGGGCGGCTCTGATGGTACACTATCGTCGCCCAAGTTCAGATCCCTCGCCACCTCATCGTCTCTCACCTTGGTCCCTTTCATCTCCAACACCATCAGCTGACATTCTCACAAACTTCACCTTAGCTCTGCTCGAAAACTATTTGTCTTTATTTATTTTATTTGATTTTCATCATCTGTTTTTTATTATAGGATGTTTTCAATTGGACTGAAATGTCTAGTCTATGTTATTTTATAACAGTTCCAATCTGATCTAGGCTGTTTAAAACATCCTTATACTCCCTATTTAAGGAATATCTAGTCTAGCCTTAAACTAGTGTGAACGCAAATCCGATCCAATTCCTATTCTAGTGAACAAGCGTATTCCGAATAAGGGCAAGAAGGAACTTCAACCTCTGCGAAAATTGATCCCGGTTTTGAAGATTTTTTGAAGGGGGTTCAAAAAATCATTTGAGGATTTTTTGAAGGGGCGTCAAAAAATCAAAATTACAAGTTACAACCGGAAGTCCTGAACCATATTGGACCGGTTCAGGTTAGGTACCAGATACCAATTACGTGGTATCGTATAGTCACAGTCTACACAAATGTGCACCTAATGCCAGACGCAGGAATTCTTCTTACACAAGGGCACGATGCAAAACGGACAGGTATTTATATTTAACTCAAACAGCAAAATTGATTTTTTAAATGTATCCCCATATACAACTCCAAAAAAATGTATTCACTTCCTTGGCAGTTTATATCTGTCACAGACTTTTCTCAGAATGCATCAGCATGTAAAACAAAAACAAGAAACCGCAAAAGAACCATGTTTGCCTAAGCATATTTAGATACTAGTAAATTCAGCAGGTCTATAGACAAATAGCTCAGGACCCCATATATGCAGCGCTTTTACCACCCAAAAATAGTAGTGCAGCAACCCCCTTCCCATACAGCCAAACCCGTGGTTAATAATAACACAGGTCATAACTGAATCACTTCCTAGTGCCTCTTGGATTGGATGCCAAAAGCTTTTGCCCTCCACCATTTCGCCATACTCCGCGCACAGGTAAACCTTCAGTAGATTTACTCTCTTCCTCAGATGCCATCCCTTTTGAATGTAGATCCGGATCAGAAATTGAACTTTTGAGATTTAAGAGTGATTCGACAGACCCATCACCTAGACGAGCCCTAAGAAACTTTGATGTCTTCTTTTGCTTGTTTCTGCTATGTCCATCCCCTAGAGTGTGATTTGATCCACCACCACCTAATGAGTCACTTTGGTCCTTGAGTTTTAAAGCTTCAGGATGTGGCACAAACTCTCTCTCTAATGCTGTTTCTTTAGATTTCCCTTTAGAAGAAGCACGATATCCATCCTTTAATAGCACTTCTACCCCTTCCTCAGACGCCTTATAGCTTGACTGCAAATGCTTTACAGTGTCTAAGATGCTATCTGCTAAATTGATCTTCGGTGTATTATTGTCTCCAGCACCTGTGGGCTTTTTACCCTTGCCTTTTTTAGTATCTTTCATTTGAAGACTGCCATTCTGCTCTGGACCTGCATGTCTAAAGTTAAGTTTATGTGTCTCAATCAGCTCGTTCTGCTTCTGAACGTCAGGACAAAGTCTAGCCAGCTCAACAACTAGATGAAGCAAGCCAAACTGATCTACATAAGATAGATATGTTTCTGCATCGATTAAACCTTGACGATATTCGCCTGATATTTCCTTAAATGCAGCAAATTTATCTTGGTCAAAGTTCAGAGCAAGACGTATCCTCTCTACTAAAGATTTGTTTGCAGTGTGGATATCTCCTACCCCAATGGCGGCGGTGGCCGTCTGAGCACTTACAGGCAACTTGTTGTGCACCTGAGTTGAAACTGGCGGAAAATTAGAAGAGTCAAACGATCCACCACTTCCAACCAGATCTGGAGTTGATGTGGTAACCAGATCTGGAGCTGATGTGGTATGGTTGGTTTTAATGGTGTTGGCCCAATTCCTTGATGAGGTTGATGAACTGGCAGAAGAAGATTCATGAACCACGGCAGAACGAGCCTGCTTTGGAACAGAGATCGTATTCTGAACAGAAGTTGATGTTGACCCAAAAGAGTTGCTTACTGCAGGCCAGGCAGCATTTTGATGATGTCTCGTCATTGGTGAAGAGCTACTTTCACTCGTTTGCTTGCTTTGCCCACTAGAACTAGAAGCAGCTGGTTCAGACACACTACTGACTACAGGCCAGGCATGGTTGGTTACGGTTGGTGTGTTGTGACTTGATGGTGCACCAGGAGCAGAACCCACAGTGCGGGCATTCACAGTTTTGTTGCTCTGTCGGCGGAGACGTGCAGCCATAGTATTTTTAAGTAAAGACTCACGTTGAGCCTGTTGTTGACTACTCGGAGCAGTGACAGGTAAAGGTGGAAAAGCAGATTCTTCGAGCTGGGTGTTTCTTTGAACAGAAACAGCTTCACGGTATCTTGATGACACCTCAGAGCCTGGTGTGGCTAATGATTCAAATGAGGGAATGAGTGGATCAATATCGCTTTCTTCAGCATGATCGGAGACCACTACCCTCCTGCTGGATGATGAGACATTTTGAGATCTACCTTCTACTAAATTAGCACTCTCCAAACTGGCCTGAATGGCCATGGATAGTTCACTTTCAGAAGCATCACGCCTGAACATACGTCCTCTTCCCCGGTGACCACCATCTTGTTCATTACTTCGCCGATACCGAAAGCTTGTAGGTATCTGTGCAAATAGCAGGCAACTATGAAGTCTGGTAAAACCATTTAAAGTATTTGAGAGAATAAGGATTCGAAGTCAGAGCCAAGAAACATGAATGTGACAGAACATTCCATTGAGATGTTGACCATAACTTGCCTGAAGAGCAGCATTTCTTTTCGAACGGGACATGCGACCTCCATGCTCTATGGCATTGTGCCTCTGAAATGGAACAGGAAAATGAGGGCATTGGTTGAATTCACAGATCTTTGTAATTCATATCAATGAAATCTTCATGGGCATAAAATTGCTGCATCCTATTTTCAATGTGTTCGAGATTTTGTTCAACAATAACAAATGTCTACTGACCTTCAACTCAGCTTCAGAGAGAAACACAACAAATTTCTTTACAAGGCACGACTCATCCTCACATAAGAAGTGATTGCCACGGAAATGGATCTGGAACAAAGGCACCGGATACAAAATAGTTTGATGTTCAAAGTACTGTTGGGGATATTAGCACTATAACAAAAAAGAAAAAAGAAAAGGGAAAGTACTTCCAGATCATTGTAGTTTTTGTAGTACTCATATTGTCCAGGATGCTGCCTGCAAAAGTATGTATAGTATAAATCTGATGTACCTTAGCAGAAACGTTTCAGCAAAGAACAAAGTTAAATGGTTTTACTTAAAGTACACCTTTGACATAAATGGCATGTATAGTGTTCAGTGGACATGTGTAAATACAGCTCATTGTCACCATAAAAAGGCGTTGTACAAAATTCACACATTGGATGCCCCATGAACCCACCCCTTTCACTCTCAGTTCCATCAACCTCAGAATCCCCAGTGTTTATATGCTGATTCAGCTGTGCTCTAGTATACAGTTTCTGCTCACAAATAAATACCTACAATTGAACAGAGAAATCAGCCTTTCACCTTTTCAGAACCAATATGTCAAGTACTAAGAACACCTTCTCAAATGCATAAAATGTCAGAAATAAGGCCTTTGTTGTGTGCATTCCAACTTGGTGGTAAATTTACTAAAGCAATATGATGTTTACTAACTAACAGGGACACAAAATTATGAAAGCAGACGATTGGTTAATGCCAACTGCTCAGAAATTGAATATAAAGCTTCTTGGCATAAGATGCACTCTAAAAACAATAGAAAGGGGTGGGAATTAGGATCTCTTTTTCAATGATCAATGGTGACTTAAAGTATTAAGTACGTTTTACATTATGCACTATAAAGCACCCATCACCAGGAAAATGCATTAAAATAGAAAGTGGTGGGAATTGGGATGTCTTTTGTTATGACTTATGAGCAATGGTGACTTAAAGTCGATGTTCTCATTTTTATACAACCCACTAGCACTGATAAGATTGAATCATCAACATGATATTAGCATTTTAGAATGTCGATATTTAAGGTTTAAGAGGATCATGCTTCACGAACAACAGTAAATCTTAGAGTGCTGCTTAATGGAAGTAAACGCTTGCCAAATGTCAATCCAACACTTCACAAATTTGTGTCCACCAGTTTTTTATAAATTGCAATAGTGTCTTTTACGTTTGAATAGGTCATGTAGAGCTAATCCTGGTGTATTAGAAAGGGCGTATTGAGTAAAGTTCTCAACAAGCTGTTGAATAGAGAATCGGGGTCTACTTAAAAATAAGTAAAAACAACAACAACAACAACAACAACATCCAAGCCTTAATCCCAAAAGAATTTGGGGTCAGCTAACATGAATCGATCTATGATATCGATGCCAAAAAGAAATAAGTAAAAACAACATTAAGTAAAACATAAATTCCGCTTTTGGTCCTACGAGTATAGCGCCGATTCCTCAATAAGTTCACGTTTTTTACTTTGATCACTTTTGGTAATTGGTACATGACTATTATTTATCGCCCATGTATGGTCCTTCCGTCAATATTTAGGGTGGTTAAAATCGCCGGAGAGGTATCGGAAAATTGAACAGAAGGACCACAAATGGTCATGAAACAATAGTGAAGTACCAAAATAGAACAAAGTGAAAGACGTGGATTAAATGTGGAATTGACGTAGAACTCATAGAACCAGAAGTGGAATTAATATTTAAGTAAAAACAAATACCCCTTTGAATATTTTTGTTTGCAACGCTTCTTTGTTTGGCAATATTTTAATCTTTGCAACGCTTCTCTTTTATGGAAAGCTTTATCCATCAAAACACCTATATACCCTTAACTTTTACCCTTGATTACCCCTTTTATCACCTACTTTATCACTTTACACTACCCCTACTATTTTTCCCTTAAACATTGTGTCAAAACCTAATGTTGCAACCAAAGAAATACGGAGGGAGTATCAAATAAACAGAAAAAAAGTAACAGTCAATTAATGATTGCTACCTTCCTTCCTTCCAAGCACAAGCTGCACATTAAAAGCCTGTGCTGGTGAAACAGATGGCCCTTCAACTGCTCAATGTTCCGGAACTTCCCCCTTCTCCTGGGCGCTTCAGCAGGTTGCTCCATTGTATCACACACACTACATGACAGCCTACACATGGCCCTTATCATTTTGTAGTGATCAGAGTCATCAAAGAAAGCTTGGGTATCTTCATGATACCAAAACGACCCCATTCGGCCTTCTTTTGGCTCATTTGGGAAAGTTGAAAAGTTACTAATAGTTTGAGTGTAATCGCCAAGAGCCTGCAACATCATATATGAAATTACCCACTATGGATGCAATTACAATCAGAACAAAATTGAGCCATTGGTAGATCATGCATGCCGTTAGAAGGCATGAGCTAACCAGTTGAAAGTTGAAACCATCTAAAGGAATATAATTTGGGTTCACCAACAATAAAAAATCACTAAATGATATGCTTCTGCTAAGGTCCAGAAAGCTACAACTTGGAAATCATACAGAGAATTTGAGAGAACCTTGGTAACAAAAACAACACTGTTATCGGTCTTGCAGATACAGCACCGCCGATCGTCGCATATAAAGCGGAGGCGAGCTACGCACGTGGAGCAAACCTCTTTGTGACCGCACGCACCATACGCAACCCATTCCAGATTCTCCGCACACACTGCACAGCTATCATCCATTGCTTCCGGTGAGTATCTTTTTTCGGAATCTACGGTGACTTCGATCTAGGGTTCCGATTTCGTGGCCACCGGTCAGGTAATCGAAATTGAAAGGCGACGCAAATATCGTAACTCGTAGTGTATCACGTTATTATGCTTAATAAATGATCACCCCTCGATCCAATGAAAATGTGTTTTTCAATGTTAGAGCGCTTTAAAATAGCCATTCCGGAGTTTTACTTTTTGTTAGATAACATGTTTTTTACTTTTTTATTAGGTTAATTAAAATTTTGGTTTCATCTAATTTGATTTACTATGAACTGATTTGATTTGATTTAGATGTATTTTATGATTGATCTATTTAAGTTTTAGATAGTTTAATCATCTTGAAACAGAAATATATCCCAAAAAAACATATCCAAATAAAAAACATTTTACTCCCTCCGTCCCGAAATAATTGTCCTGCTTTCCTTTTCGGTCCGTCCCGAAATAATTGTCCTCTTTCCTTATTTGGTAAACAAATCTATACAAAACAGTGTCAAACAGTGTCGCTACAGTGCCAAACAGTGTCGCTACAGTGTGAAGTCAACTTTGTTTTATTAATCTGTGTGAAGGTGAAAACAGGACGATTATTTCGGGACGGAGGGAGTAAGTTTCAGAGAACTTTTAAAAGGAGAAAAGGGTCAGATAGGGCCTCGAACTTACAAAAAAATGTCAAATAAGGCCTTATATAGGAGGTTCTGTCCGGACGACGCCATTTGGAGCGGTTCTCGATGGAATTTTTCGATGAACTTTTGTGAGCATCTTATTAATTAAGTTTAGTTTACTCATACCAAATTTCAGCTAAAACTTCAATCCGGAAGGCATTCAAATAAATTCGTAAAGATAACTGCGCTTTTATCTTCAAGAATTTATTTGAATGCTTTCCTGATTGAAGTTTTAGCTGAAACTTGGTATGAGTAAACTAGACTTAGGCATTGTTTGTTTATTGGCGGTTTGTAGCCAATCTGCTGGAAATACCATCGTTTTTCTTCATTAAAAAAATAGCGGTTTGACCAATCCGGTGCTATCCAAACACCATCTTAATGAATAAGATGCTCAAAAAGTTATATTGAAAAATTTCATCGGGAACCGCCCCAAATGGCGTCGGCCGGACAGAACTACCTATATAAAGCTTTATTTGACATTTTTTTGTAAGTTTGAGGCCCTATGTGACCCATTTCCCCTAGAAAAGAGGAGAAATAACGTGAAACACAACTTTTAACCTTTTGTGTTACAATTTTATTTAAGTCTCGTATCGTCTTAGATCAAAATCAATATAATTAGAGATAATTACCCTAGGTATGACTAAAACTTAATCATTTTCCCAATCTATGACCATATTAGTTTTTTTCCAAAAAAAATTATATAAATTCGTACTATTTAATTAATTTATTACTAAATAAATAAATAAATATTTTGTATGGACTAATATGCCCATCAGAGTTAAGATATTATTATAAAACCCTAAACTCCTATTTCTTTTCTCCAACCTAAGCTTCCCTAATCTCCATCCGTCCAGCCGCCCACCTATGTACCGCATCTCGCCGCCTGCCGCCCATTGCCCGTCGTCCAGCCGCCGCCCGCCTTCCAGCCGCACCCACCGTCCAGCCGCTCACCCGTTGTTCGTCACCTCGCCAAGTTGGAACGATTTAAAAGATGTAGCAGATAATATAAAATTGTGTTTGAATTCGAACAGAAAGAAGGGCGAGGCCAGAGAAGCGGAGAAGACTCCGATGACGGCGTTCAAGAAGTGGCAGCACCCGACAGCTCTGGTTTCCTTCGATCTGGCTCTATTTGTGAAGTTTGTTACTACCTGTAGATGATATTAGATCTGAGTGACGCCGCCCAAGCCTATTAATTTTTTCTCTGATTTAGGTTTCTTTTCTTCATTCTTTTTTGTGAATTTTGCACAATTGCACTTCGGACAGTTGTCTGTAGCATCACAAGGAGGACCCCTTTTGAGGAGCGCAAGGGATTTTTAAGGCTTTTATTATGATGAGTCAATTTAGGATTATGACCATTTAATATGGCAATTGAGCATTGACAAAGAATATGACAATAAGTATTGAGTGTGATAGTGAATATGGCAATATATATGTTGTATATGGCAGTGAATGAATGCGTTAAGGAATTTTGTTGTGCATTGATTATGACTTAAGTGCAGTAATACAGAGCAGTAATTTCGACATTAAACGCAATATACTTGACTAGACGTAAAATAATGAAATTATTAAATCTAAAAAAATAAAAACTACTCCGGGTATAAATAATTTCGTAAAGTGAATGAGAAGAAAATTAATTTTGGCGGAAGTGCAGTGATTTTTACCGGAAGTACAGTAATGTCATGCAGTAATATCATGCACTAATGTTGTGCAGTAAAGACAATATAAAGTGCAGTAATTCTAATTGGACGAAATTAGTGAAAATGTGTATATTTTCTATAGGTGTATTTTCGTCATTCAATATTTAAATATACCGAAATTTTCTTTTGTTTTTGAATTTTCGGTCATATAAAAGTCCAAAAACTAATTAGGTCATAGATTGGGAAACTCATTGAGTTTTAGTAATATGATAGGAAATTTCCCATATAATTAAAACCACCCTCATTTTTAGTTTTTTTAAGAGGCTATTAGATTAAATTTCAAGCATAACCGATCCCAAAGAATCCCAAACGTCAAATGAAAATCATTGAAAAAATAAAACAATAAGTAATAATCGTTGCAGCATTCAATAAACGGGGGCAATCATTATCACCAATTGACACATAAACCATCGAATTGAAAGGGAACACTAAATTATAGTCGACGGTGTGCGACTCCATTAATAATCATTTAATCCACCATTGACATTGTATTTGAGCAATTGAGCCGAAGGGTAAATAAGATTTATGACTAAAACCACCTAATAAACTCATTAATCTTTACAATTTTGCTAGTTATACACAAGTTGGGTAACTTGCACACTTATACCGTCTGACACTGATCATGGCGTGCAAACCAATCTATGTGCGCACAATGCCTGTGTACACATACAATTATTGTCTGTGCACGAAAATTGATTTATGTGACTAAAATGTAGAATTTTCAAACAGATTTATCATATAGACAATAATTGTGCGGCTCACAAAAAATAGTTGCATGTGTGGTCATTTTTTATTGAATGCGTTCACACGTATTTTATTACACAGACAATAGTTATGTTGGTCACACACAATAGTGGTCAGTGTGATCTACTTTAGTTGCCTGCGTAATCAATTTTAATTGTTTGGGTGAATAAAATATTTAATTGTCTATATGCGTCCAAATGAATGATTTAGTTGTATATGTGATCAACTTACATGCAATTTGAAAAAAATGAAAAGATAATAAAAATAATTGTAAATAGATTTTTTGATGATATAAGTGGAAATAGATAAAAAACTGGTTTTGTGCAAATAATTGAAAATTTGGATATAGAAAAGTAGATAATAAGTTGGTTCAATCTTCTTTGGGGTGCCTGAATGTAGACCTGTCCCTGGTTCGAAACCGAATCAGAACCGAACCGGCGGTTCACGGTTCGTAAAATTCCGAAACCTGAACCGGAACCTTTAAGGGCCGGTTCCAGGCGGTTCAAAACTGCCGGTTCCGATTCCGGTTCGGTCCGGTTCAACGGTTTTTTATTAATTTTTTGGGGATTATTTATACATATTTGACATTTAATTAAAACATTAAGATATAATAACAATACTTTGTGAATTAAGGACATACATTGAGATATAAAAACATTAAAGATGTCATAACAATTTTGTAACTTATTTATTTTTAATAAGTTTGAGCTTGGACTTAGTGTAACTTTCTAAGTTGCCTACGTATCTTCTCGATGTATTGAGAAGAATCAAAGCTCACGTAGTTCTATACATTAAATAAAGACGGTAACATTATTCTAGGCATAATTAAAATAGTTTCATTACAAATACTTAAATTATTCTTGAGGTTCGTCTGCATTAGTTGAACCATCATCGGAGAAGAAGTCAGCAATAAACCTTGAGGCTCTCTCCATTTCTTGTTGCCTTGCATCTGCTCTTTAATTTCCCAATCTCCAGAGCAAACTTGCACTTGAACAGATTATGGTGTCATGCAAGAGCGCGTTTCACCCAAAACATTCCCACCGATACTAAATTCACTTTCCACCGCCACGGTAGAAACGGGACAAGACAACACTTGTTTTGCTACAAATCTTTCCACCATTGCAATAAATCTAGATGTGTTTGATTTTCCTCTCCTTGATCTTGAAATACAAACTCCGTGCTTAAATAGATATTGACCTCAGATAATGTTGTATTTGATGGAGCAAATCGGGTCTACTTTTAAAAATTAAAAAAAAAAACGGTTTTGAATCGGAACCGTCCGGTTTAGAACCGGAACCGGTGGTTCCGATTCCCACAAATCATAAAAACCGAACCGCCTATTAAAACCGAAGGTTCGGAACCTTGGCTTCAGACCGGTTCTGGTTCCAGTTCGGAACCGCCAGTTCTGGTTCCAGGTTAAATCGGAAACCGGGGTCAGGTCTACCTGAATGGGCTAGATAGGGGATAGAGGGTTAAAAAATAGAGAATGATAATATACAGTAAAGTTTTAGCCTAATAATTTGTGTACAAACAACAAAATTATAATCTTTATCCGAACACATCGAAACCATGATTTTATTTAATTTTAGTTAGGACCTATGAGAATGCTTTGACTATAGAAAATGTAATTGAAAGCATATTTCTTTCATTATATTATGAGAAAAATAATTCAAATACCCCAATTTTTGAAGGGGCATGGGGCATATACTCTAAATTTGCATTTGTAATTTAAATACCCCCAACATTATTTAAAAAGGTATTTTAACATCATGGTCATATTTTAATTTAAAATTTATGGTCATATAATTTAGGATTATTAGCTTATTTTATCTCAAACTAGGATCAAATTCACAAATTTATCATATTCTTTCACTTTTATAAAAAAGGCTCAAACTTCATCTTTTTCAACATTTTGTAATCAAAATTACACTTTTTTATCAGTACCAATAAGATATAAGCAACACAAGATTGTAAAGTTAAAACTAGAAAGAAGTGAAAATATAATATATATAATTATGATTTTTTTCTTAAATTTTACATATTCATTCATTGTGATTTTTTTTGAAAGTTGAGTTTTTTTTAATAAAAGTGAAAACATGAGATAGATTTGTAAGTTTGATGATAGTTGCGAAATATTTAGCTAATAATCCTATAACTTATGGTGAAAATTATATGCTCATTGTACCACAATAACTATGTAGAAAGTTGGAGATATTGAAATTCCATATGCAAGTTTGAGGTGTTTTCATTAATTTTTTATTATATTATTAGGGTTAACAATGATGCAGGTCAAAGACGATTATGCATACAATTGCATCAATCCTGTTATACAATATATAGGCAATTCTTATTCAAATCATGATTCTACCAAGTCCCAACAACGATCGTAGCTATGTGTAATATATTGTTCCATACAAAAATGAATATAATAAAAAGGAAAAGGCGAATCGAATTAATTTATGTCTAAAAATACATAAATTGAAGAAAACAAATATTAAATTAGGGAATAAAATATCCAAATAAGTTTTTTAAAGTAAAAGGACATCTAAAAAACAGTTAGCGGTGGAGGCTAGGGCAACCTGATTGCTCCTGCGCCTCCCCATCGATCACAGTTACTGATCGATAATTGATCGCACATGCGCAACTGCGGCGTTGTGTGCAGATTTTTAGAAATTGTGGAGATCTCGTAGCTTCGTTCAATTGTTCTTATCATTGTTTGGTTGAATTGTCAATTGCAATTCAAATCGCACGAAATACTCCATCGTCTCCCTAGTTTTCGTGTAGGGGTTGTTTTCCTGGAAGGTGGCTTGCACCGTTTCTTATGTGGCGAATGATTTGGAGCGACAATGCGGTGGCGGCCGTTATCACGCTTTGCTTCTCCATGATCTACTTCTCTATGGTTTATGCTTATGGACATGCTGATATAGATCGAATTTGAAAGTCTGTGATTGATACCTTCAAATGGAAAATCGTCTGGTCAGTTCCGCCTGGCTTGATCGTCGGAGGGGGGCGATTGGGATTGTGTTGGGCGCATGGAACAAATGGATGGGGCGTCTGTATTATATTGGCTCCTGCTTTGATGGATTTCACCTCAGGGTGGACGCGAGTGGGGGTACTCGAGTGAGGCAATTTATGGACCGAGTCTTGAGCAAGGGAGAAGACATATCAGTTGTCCGCCCTCCTCCCGAATCGCTTCCCTAGAGCAATTGAGGTGCTAGGGTTTGGAAGAGGATACTTCAAGAAAATTGTCAAAAAGGAGCATGGAGTAATTATCAATTGTTTTATTTTTATGGTCTTACTTTTGCGTTATGTTTGTTTACGTTGCTTTGTTTTATGTTGATGTCTTTAGTTTTAGGTCTACAATAATCATTCGCAACTCTGCTAGATATTATGTTGTTAGAAATATCTATATGGTCAATGATTTTTGTGTTACACCCATTTGGTGGTTAGCGATTCGTATTGCTTTTTCAAGGTAATCGTTTCTAAATCTAGCCATATGATTGATAGTACTTGTTGGTTACAGATAGTTATTGTCAATGTTGATCTTGTTGGGTTTGATGTAACGATCCAAATCTTAAATATATTAATATAAACGGTTTTTTCTTTCTTAAAAGAAGAAGTCGAAGGACATCCAAAATTTATCTAGAGCGGTGGGCGAACCTAGCGCTAGTCTATGTTAAATTTGGTTGGACAATGGCGCTTCATTGACATTAGTTACAAAAGGATTTCGGCAGAACTCATGATGTTCTTACTTGGATTGTAATTTGCTGGTCTGGTCTGATCTGTTTAAGTCTTGTCTGGTCTGGTCTGATCTATTTAAGTCTGGTCTGGTCTGATCTGTCTAAGTCTGGTCTGGTTTGGTAAACGTCTGGTCTCTATGTATTTTATAACTACGGAAGTCAAGTCTGATATGATCTGATCTGTTTATGTCTGGTTTGATCTGTTTATGTCTGGTCTGGTCTGTTTACGCCTGGTCTGGTCTGATCTGTTTAAGTCTGGCCTGATCTGAGACTGGAAACATCTCAAGTAAGAGCATCTCCGATGCTACAAATCCTACAATGTGCACAGTGCAAATGTGACACGCAAGATAGCCACATAAATATTAGTAAAAAATTCTTTATATCCTTATTTGAATGATTTTATACAATTTTGGTAAGTTTTCCCCTTCAATGTCAACATCTAGACGATCTTCTTATTTGAATGATTTCATACAATTTTGATAAGTTTTCCCTTGCAATGTCAACCACAATGTAAATATTTATACGATCTCCTTGACATTGTAGAGAAAAACTTATCAAAATTGCATAAAATCGCTCGAATAAGAAAAGAGATAATTTATTTTGTTAATATTTATGTGGTTATCTTTCGTGTCATATGTGTCCGTGAACAATATAGAATTAGATATGCTCTAGCATAACTCGCAAGCTTCAAAATGTGAAACTCAATGATGAATTATTCAAGAAAAAAGGTAGAGAATCACAATGCATTACATGCTTTACTTCATCAGAAGTTAATACATCGTAAGTCACATAAATATGAACTAAATCAACTCCACAACAATAAGAGTCGGTTTGATGACCCTTTTTTTGGATTATCAGGCTTATCAGTCAGCTTTTTCACCAAACACATATTTTTTTTCGCGCGCTGAATTATGTAATAAGCAGAAAAGGTAAGGTTTGATTTACTTTTCTGGCTGTATTGACTGAAGTTATTGTAGAGGACCATTTTAGCTATTTTTCATATATTTTTTTATTTTATTTATTAATAACAAATATTTTAAATATAATTTTTTATGAATCAGTAGAATCAGCCAATACAGCAACTTCAGCCAGAACTTCATAAATTTCAACAGAATCAGTCAATTCAGCCAATTTTAGTGTTATCAAACGTGCTCAAAACAAAAAAAACTTTTAATTACTCCATTTGTGCCCAAAATAACTTTTCACTTTTATTATTTGGGTCTCTCAAAATAAAATGAGATTTTTTCTAAAATAGTACCAATAAAAAATCTATGGGCAAAAATGTAACTATAAGTTACGGTGTATAAGTTTTATAATCACTATGATGTAACATTTTAATACAACTATAGTCACTAAACTTATCAATGTCATATTTTTGTTCACTACATTTATTTTGGTTATATATCAGGAATTGTTTCAAATAAAATTATCTTTTATATAAAAAGTAAAATTTCAATGCATATCAAGATTATCTTTATGTTGTACTCACTTTTTATTAGTTTGATATAAAGTAGGGGTATTATTGAAAAGTCAATTTCTCACTATTAAAAATGTGTGTAAGACTGTAAGACCACTTGAAGTGGTGAGGTATTAGGAGTCCAAAATGTTAAAAGTGGAGTTTTTGGACTCCTAAATCATTGTTGTGGTTGGCTAAACGGGGGAGTAAAAATGGAGAAGGGATGGAGGGGTATATATGAAGGGTGTGGAAGGAGGGAAGCTAAAAAAAGGGAAGGGGTGGAGGCACGGTGCGCAGAGGGGGAAAAAGGCAAGTGGGCCATGTGGCTATTTGGGATGTGCCCAGAAATGTTTAGGGTGATGATATCAGGCTGACTTCGTACTGATGTCATAGAGCTCTCATTTTTAAAAATATTGGTAGCTCCAACGGTTGTGATGTTTTGGGCAGGCACTGTTTGAACGTGAAAAAAACTGATCCAACGGTTGAAATTAAAATCCAACGGTTAAAATAATTTATTTTTATTTTCCCATTATTTTTAATTAATATTTTGTCCGAAAATCCTTTAATATTTTTCCAATGTGTTTGAACTCACTTCATCGAAAAACGTAAAAAAAATATCAATGAAATTTGTTTTTTACATCGAAATGTTTCTTTTTATTTTATAATTAATCAGATAAAAAAATTAAAGGAAAAACATTACTTATAATAATTTAATTAATGTTTTACTAAATTGATATGTAAAAAATGTGCAGAGTGTATTTTATTGACGGTGCTGGAATGCAGAGAAATATGAGTCAAAACATTGTTTTCATATGAACGGAGTCTATTTTTGACATTTAGACTCTCCCACCACTCCAAATGGTCTAAGTAGAGAAGTTTTAAAGTTGTCGGAAAAAATGTCTGTATACAGATGAAAAAAATGTAGAAGATGTTTGAGTGCACACAACTAATGTCTTTGTACTTATGTTGGTTTGTGTGCCGTTATACAAAAACGTCAAAGTTTGGTTGCACGGAAACCAATGTTTGTGCACATTCATTAGTTGTTTGTACGTAACAATTTGTACATTTTTTGTCTATGCTTAATAATTTTGTCCGAACATAGACAAAAAGTGTAGAAATTGTCTGTATGTAGACAATCAAACAATAGTGTTTTTTGCGGATATTGGTTTGCGTGATGTTTTGAAGAAACGTGAGTTTGATAGCACGAAAACCAATGTTATGGCTCACTGCACACACATTAGTTATCTGCGCACAAACAATTTGTCTAGTGCTTAACAATTTTTCTGGACACACAAACACTGTAAAAACGTGTATATGTATGTTTATAGACCTTTTTCCGGCAACCTTCCGACGAATCTCAAACTCCAATTTTTCTGATCCTAGAAGTTGTTGGTGATGATGGTGGTGGTGGTGATGAATACCATGACCAAACATGGTGACAATGTGAGGTGATGAATATGAAAAGATGGATGAAAGTGAAAGATGTCAACATCATAAAATGAAAATGACTGAGCACGATAAAAATGGTGATTGTGGAGATATATGATGTGTTAAAAGTGTACTATATACAAAAATATTATTTATGAGAAATAAAGAGGAGGAATAAATTTATTTTTGGACCTGTGTGTGAAAGGTGACTATTTTAGCATTTCTGAACAAAATTCGACGCAGAGGATGCTCAACAAGACAGGTTATACCTTACAAGTGCACCATTGGTGATGCAACAGAGTCCAGATGGCAACTAACTAAATACTCCTTCACAATCTCTCTCAATTCCAGTTGTCTCCAGTAGCTATTCCACCGTTCCACGATCGATTCTAATGGCGTCTTCCTCAGCTCTGAATTCCTCTGCAACTCTCAACTCCACTCGTTTCTGGGACTCCCATCACTCACCCATTGCTGCTCCTCTCCGGTTCTCATCGCTTCGCACCAATCTCGCCCACTGTTTCCCTCTTCCACGCAGCAATCTCACTCTCAAAGGGCGATCCTCTCCGGCGTCTCATTTCCCGATCGTCAGAGCTCAATCCTTTCACGGTAAACCTATCTGTACAGCTATTACTACTTAGTTTCGGGGCGGCGCCTGTTGTGGGCGGATGGTCGTTTCTTTGAGTGTTATGTTTGATTCCTTTGTTTGTTATCATACAGAATACGCACCAGAGGCAAAATTTTACAAGGTGGAGGCAATTCTGAGGTGCAATAATCTAATCCCTTATTATTTTAACCTTGTTTTTTTTAGATTTTTCAAATCAAAAACAAAAGTTTACATTTGTTTATTGTTATGCTTTGAATTCATTGGATGAGTTATTCGTTGCTAACCTCCTATCTTATTTCTCATGTGAATTTGGAAACTAATACTGTCGTAGACCGTGGAGGGTCCAAAAGGTTTCTTCGGTAAGAGCTTTTACAAGTCATCTATGAATTTTAAATGCTTTTATCTGTGACTCTGTGAGCAAGGCTCTTCTTGAACTAATTGGTTGACATTCAATCTCAAGTATCTGGTTATTAGGATTTGCGTTTGCTATTTGGTCATGCTTTTGTTTGCAACTCCATGAACATATTTACTTGGCTTCTAATGTATTGTTCCTATTTTAATGTGAGATAAATAAAAAATAAAGAAATTATGCAAATAGGGGTAAATGATGAGTCACCTGGACGTAAAGATAATGATGGTCCTATTTGAAAAATAAGCTCACTATGCCGATTGTGATCTTACGTTGTTTCTTAAAGTTGTCTAGTGGCTCCATGTATCCTTCAGCGTGCATTTTTTTTATTTCAAAATTATTCCTCTATTTACCGACAAAATTTTTAACTTCTTCCGTTTCTTCAACATCATTCAACCTCTTCCATCCCATCCGTCGAACAACCATTGTACCTATGCTTTACCTGGCCTTTGGATGCCAAATCTCAATTGGGGAAGAATGAAAAATATGTAGCAGTATTTCTTTAGTTTGTGCAGTAGTCTCTGTAAAGAAATATATGATTCTATTACCAAGCCTATTGTGGCTTTAAGGGTAATTTGTTTATTGAACACAAAATGTGGATTTAATGTATAAAGGGGACCATAACTATTAAAAACAATATTGATGCATATCGGTACCTCAATTATTGAATGAAGCAAATCTTTACCTTAAATACTTTTAAATGTTTCATAACGTTACCATTTTGAATTATCAGTCAAAAATAACTTTACTTCATTACTTGATAACCTTAATGTTACAAAGAGAGTCGAGGTTTGCTACATGGAGATCGAAAGGGGTATATATGGTATGCTAGAGATTATTATACCTCGTATTACGTATTAGCAGCACTGTTCCTTGCAATGGTAGTTTTAGGCGTGTAAAGCCCCTTCAGGAAACAGGCCTTTTGTTTCCATGCCCTTGCATGCATTTGAGCAGGAATCCCTCTTGGACTCTAAAATTGGCTGATATTCTTCTGGATATGGATTATGATATGGTTTGGTTTGACTGAGGCCATAAGATTGGTGAATGGTGCTTATGGTACATCTTTGATTATGGACGGGATCCATGATGATCATATATCCAACTACGTTTTTAATATATAGCCTATAGTTTCTTTTAAGGTTTATCTTTTGCACTACAAGTGAAATGAGTTTCACTTCATGAACTTGTGAAATGTGAAGGCACTTCTGGAAATTGGAATCCGTGGTGTAACCATTTCTGATGTTCGAGGATTTGGCGCTCAAGGTGGATCATCAGAGAGACATGCAGGTGAGATCAATATATGCTTGGATTTATAAAATGTTTCTACAGCTCTATTTGATTGGTTGTTGTTACTATTATTATAAAAAAATATTCTGCAACTTCACATTTGAGATAATAGTTTATACTCCGTATTGATTTTCTTTAGAACCTCAGTATTTATTTTTATGATTTGGGAACAACTCTACTATGAGCTCAAGCTTGACCCCACCTTTGACCTCAAGCACATAAAAGGTCTATTATACCCTTGCATTCAAGGACTCTAGATATTTGGTTCAAGTGAATGCAATGATATAATAAACCTTTTAATGTGATTGATGTCAAACAGTGGGTGGGTCAAGGTTGGGAGCATAGTAGAATTGTTCATGATTTGTTGTTCAGGTTCTGAGTTTTCTGAGGACAACTTTTTGGCAAAAGTTAAGATGGAGATTGTCATCAGCAAAGACCAGGTTTGTGAATCAAGATGCTTATTTTGTGACTATATATGTGTGTGTATGATGTTTTCTGCGTGGCAGGCCTAATAGCAGTTTTTCATGTTGTTTTCTCTTAGGTTGAAGTAGTCATAGAAAAGATAATTTCAGAAGCTAGGACTGGCGAGATTGGTGATGGCAAAATTTTCTGTAAGAGTTTCCACTTTCCATCTAGCAAAAGATGCTCCCTCTGTTTTTTAGTTGCTCCATATTCCTTTCAAGGAAGTTTAGTATTAGTACTTGCTCCGTAGCTGTTTAAGGCAGCTATCATCTTACTTTTTGAATTTCTCTTTCGTACTATTTTTATTTTTTCACCTTCTATTTCACTACCCCTAAGGAAATTTGTATGTTTTTAACTTTCATCTTGAACTATGCTGTGTGATATTTTGATGCGTTAATATTTTGAGGCTTTCTGGACTTCTAAATATGGAAATCTTTAGTTGGTATTTAGTAGCTCAACTATTAGCGTTTTTATTTTTGTATATTTTTAGGCTTCTTCCTCAGTCAACGTTTTTCAAATAGTATTCTTTTACTAGTATAATAGAAAACTTAAAGCTAAACGAAAAGCGATCTTAAATAAATAAAATTAAATAAAAAGGATAACCCGATAAAGTAGCAAAGGGAACTGAAAGTGGCTCTTCAAACCTCAGATAGATGATGAAAAATTGTACTCCGTAGTATGTTATGGTGTGACTATCTCACCGTCTGAAAGTGTGCAACTTAAATACTTTTGGTGATCGAAGATGTAATTCCCTTATTTATGTAGTTAAAAGAACTGTGAATGTCAAGTGCTTATTATAAGCTTAATATGTTGCTTCCGCAGTGATCCCTGTTGCAGATGTGATAAGAGTTCGAACTGGTAAGTAACCAATAGTGCATCCTCTTTAGTTTTTACATTATCCTTACACATATAGACACACATGCACATGTGGCTTCTAAGAATCTTGTCCACTATCACTGTATGCTTTTACTCAACTTTTCAAGAGTGCTTTACAAAAACAAAAATAATGATCTGCCTCTATCCTTTTGAAATTTAGGGGAGAGGGGAGAAAAGGCAGAGAGGATGATGGGAGGAAGAGCTGACATGATTGGGTTATCAAATGCATGAGGAGGTGGTGGCAGTGTGCGGAGTTACTTTCCGGCCAAACACAGATATGCTGTTTTTATGTTTCCTAAGAGGATCTTTGTGCGTGAAAACATTATGATGATGCTCTTGGATTTTTCTTGTTGTGAGAATTAATCTTTGGTGGCACTTTTATTACTCTGCCACAGCTAAGATGTCTAATGGTGGTCGTGTTACTGCGATCTACAGCGTTTTAGTTGGAATATGGAAAGTGTTTATGGGACGTGAAGTCAATGGAGTCCTGGGGTGATGTTATAGGAATATAGGATGCTGCTATTTTAAAAAAATTGCTACAAAGGAAAAGAATAGGAAGATGGATTTACGGTGTTTTATTTCCCTGACAAACTCTCTAATCAAACTGTTTTTTTTGTAGTATCGTAGAGTACATAATGATATTTGTACGTGCAGTATGTAATGATATTTAAATTTCAATAAGTTAAAATAACATTATACGTAGTACTCCGTTATACTACGTGGAGTAATATAATTACAGTATAGTACAAAAAACATGAGTGTATATTTGTATGTCAACGGAACAACTGTGACGCGTTAAGCAGTTAATAATCTTTACATAAAAGGAATTCACATGTAGCAATAATAGAAATGAGAAAATATTGTGGGTTAGGGTGGAACGGGACTGGGACCGGGTCCGGGTCGGGGTCCAGGCTGGGCTTGGGTGGGCCCCGGGTCCAAAGTACTCAGGCCTGGTACCGCCGTACCGGCCCAGGTTAGTACCGGGACCGTGTCGGGCATCAAATAATTTTTTTATTTATTTTGTCTTTTCAAATTAATTCCAACCTCCACCAACCTAGCACCCGGCCCAATGAAAAAAAATTGAAAAAAAATTAATTGGGCCTTGCCGGTCACCTTAAAACACAGCCCGTAGCCTGCCTCATTAAATCCTGGGTCGGGTCACCTGGCCTAGTCTTGGGCCCATTTGACTGGGCCAGGACTAAACAGTGCCGGTCCATCCCAGTCCACCACTATTGTGGTTCTCTTGTTTAATAGAATGGGAATTTTCTCATATTAGAAATTCACAATGCCACTTTATCATCCATTCTCTAAAGCGCAGCTAGGGGTGGACTTGGTCCGTTCATGGGTCCTCCTGATTGAGCCGGAACCGAGCCTGACACTATTTGGGACCGGTCCGGGGTTGGTTTTTCGGTTCCGTTTCAGGACTGCCCCCCCCCCCCCCCCCCAAGCTTTGTTACCCAGTCTACGTACATGTGATTTTTTAAAATTTTTGATTTTTTTGTCGTATTCAAGTTTGGTATTTACAATTTTGTGGACAAATTAAGGACTCAAAAAGTAACTTTATCCTTGTCAAACATTAGTAATCGCAAGAAAAAGTTGAAGGGGACAATTTATAGTTGCTTAATATATTGTGGAAGATATACTTATCAATTACACTATTAATAAAAAATATGACTGGTTTGGGGGAGATATACTTAGCACCCATACAAGTAAAGCTCAGACATATTTGGTCATCACAGCACCCATACAAGTAAAGCTCAGACCTATTTGGTCATCACAACACCCATACAAGTAAAGCTCAGACCTATTTGGTCATCACAGCACCCATACAAGTAAAGTTGAGACCTATTTGGTCATCACAACACCCATACAAGTAAAGCTCAGACCTATTTGGTCATCACAGCACCCATACAAGTAAAGCTCAGGCCTATTTGGTCATCGCAACACCCATACAAGTAAAGCTCAGACCTATTTGGTCATCACAGCACCCATACAAGTAAAGCTCAGACCTATTTGGTCATCACAACACCCATACAAGTAAAGCTCAGACCTATTTGGTCATCACAGCACCCATACAAGTAAAGCTCAGACCTATTTGGTCATCACAACACCCATACAAGTAAAGCTCAGACCTATTTGGTCATCACATCACCCATACAAGTAAAGCTCAGACCTATTTGGTCATCACAGCACCCATACAAGTAAAGCTCAGACCTATTTGGTCATCACAGTACCCATACAAGTAAAGCTCGGACCTATTTGGTCATCACAACACCCATACAAGTAAAGCTCAGACATATTTGTTCATCACAACCCTCATACAGGCATTGATCAGACCTATATGGACAACACAACACCCATACAAGCATTGGTCAGTCCTATATGGTCATCACAGCACCCATACAAGTAAAGCTCAGACCTATTTGGTCATCACAGCCCTCATACAAACATTGATCAGACCTATATGGACAACACAACACCCATACAAGCATTGGTCAGCCCTATATGTTCATCACAACACCCATACAAGAAAAGCTCAGACATATTTGGTCATCACCGCACACAAACATTCCACAACCAGCCCACACATTTATCATTACCAATCAAACATCAAACTTTCTTTAAGCAGCCAACATTTTGTTCTTTACAAACAATTTCAGAAAAAAGAAGCACCATATTTTCATCATCGCTTCTCCAAAAAAAACACTGCATTACACACACAACGTATATGTAAGCCAAGGCAGACAAGCAAGTGCACAACAATAGCCATACACGATGTCACACACAGACAAATAAGATAGAGGAGTCAAACATAGGAAAAAAGATTAAGAGAGTAACTCCCCTGATTGGGAAAGAAGTCATACATCCACGTCCCACATCCTAGATTCCCAGCCGGGTAGGATGAGCTTTAGGAAGGCTTCTAGACGAGGACTTTTGCGTATTGGGTGCATTTCAACCTCTTTCCGTCTTTTCTCCCTAGCCTCTTTTCGCCTTCTCTCCTCCTCTTCACTGTCCGGAACCACTAGCTCCATCGGACCTTCATCGTCCCCATGCGATGCCTCTTCGGTGTCCAGAACCACAAGGTCCACCGAAGTTTTACCGTGGTCCACATCGAGGTCATCATCTGGCTCGACTTCACTATCCGGCACCATCAGGACACCCATGCAAGCATAGTATGGACCTTGATCTTCACATAGGGTTTCAGAGCTTGATTCTAGATCCATGGAGGTTGAATGTTAGGTTTACGGATTTGAATCAAGAACAGACGATTAGATCAACAAAATAAGCTAGGGTTGTGGATTTTGGTTCAGAGAAGGAGGGGAGGCGATGCACCGGACACAGAGGGATGAGAGGATGAGGGGAGGCGGTGCATCGCAACTGTGAGAGACAAGGAGAGAGGGGGTGAGATAATGCGAGAGAGAATGGAACGAGAAAAGTAGAGTAGAGTGTAAGTGGGAAAGAGAAAAGTGAGGAAGGTAAATATTTTAAGGGGTAAGATAAGGTTTTTAGTAGTAGAAAGTTTCATTATTTTGTAAGTGGGAAGTATTTTTGGGAACAACCCAAAATGGAAAGTGAGAAGAATTTTTGGAAACGGATGGAGTATTTACTAAACACTGAGTAAAAAATAGTAAAATCCCACAATGATGATGGAATGCTAGAAAAACAACAAAGGCAGAGAATAAAGCACATCTAGTAGTATTCTACTTCTCTGTACCATATATAATCAGTGGAGCCAGGACACTTGGCCGGTACAAAGATTTTTTTAAAAAAAATATTTTACACTAAAAATATACGGAATACATTTTTAAAATTTGGGCTGGATCAGGGCCGGCCCTCCCCTGGTTACGCCCCTGTATATAATATATATTAACTGCGGTCTTCCATAAGTAAGAAGTAAAACCTTGTAAGTTGTAACCTGTGACTTAAATGTGGTTATACTACCAAATGTCACTTCACAAGCGCTCCAGTAAGCCATGCTCATCGGTATCAAACCTCCAATGAAAATTAAAGAATCCATAAGTTATAAAATAACTCCTTATGTAACTTGTGACTTAAATGTGGTTATGAAATGGAAGAACCCATAAGTCACAAAATAAAATGTAAGAAAATTGGATGCCACCAAATATATTGCAGCATAAGAACTTAGAATTTCTGTAGATCATATGCAAGAAGAAACAATGGAGACGCCCATTAAAAGGGCTACAATTGCCTCATAATCTGGGAATAAAGCAGCCCCTAGCTAGGGTCCACGAAAACAACTTTTGCTTTTGGAGATGCATGAGGGAAGGAGGTCATCTCCCTTTGTACCTCTAGAGTCACAGATGTATCAATGCCAGCTGATTCCGAAATTAAAACTTCCTGAAGGAAGGGAGCCTTTGATAGGATTAATTTGATAAAGAGCATTTCCTGTCTTAATCCACTAAATGATATCATCTTGACTGTTCTGAGCTCACTGAGATCCTGATCACTAAACCAACCGTCCGGATCTCTCAAAATACATGGATCTGCTTCACCACTCCGATTTGACTACAAGACAAGAATTTTAAAAATATTAGAAAATAAATATCTCAATCTTAATCACCAAAAACGTAGGGTAATTGGTTGGATATTACCACATCAGGCGTTATCATAATTATCTCCAATTCGCATAGCTTTGGGCATTTCCGAAGCAAATGAATAACAAGAGTGAAGCAATTTGTGTGAGCAAAACTAAAATCATGCAGCTCAATCACTTGCAGATTTTTAGCAATCGGAAGCCTCTCTTGCATATTTATTGCAGCAGGAATGTTATACTTTATACAGTGATTACAGTCAAAGACAAAACAAAGGAAGTGGTTAACCTTTGAATGACAGAAGAACTAGAGAAAAATCAGATGTAAATGATGCAACAATTTACGAAAGGCGCGATTCTTACCAAAAACGTATATGCACAGAAGCAAAGAGTCTTAATGACACGAAAATGAAGCTCAAACCATTTCCATTCTGCCACGATTTGAGTATCGATGAAATTGAGGTAATTAAGGCTTGGAGCACTGATCAAGAAGTTATCTATATAATGACAATCCAAGAACACTAGCACCTCAAGATGAGCAAGAAGATGGATAACTGTGGGGCTATTGTCACGGTAAAACTCAACACAATTGAACTCTAAAGAGGTAACACCGGAAAACATACTACCCGGTCGAGGATTGTCCGGCAAACGAATATCAATAAAATATAGTTGCAGTTTTTTTATGGTCGGGCAGGAAATTATACAAACAGGTAGTGTGTACTTATCTCCTGTGTTGGTGAGAGCATCAACAAAGAGGTTAAGTTGCTCAATGCCATTTCTTGATAGAAAACGACACCACAGATCTAAATCACACTGCTGCAGAGCAGGTTCCCATTTGGAAGTGTCCAGAGTAAATTTCTTAACCGGTCCAGAACGGAGTATCAGAGCATTAGTTATCATTTTCGAGCATTTAACGCCTTCACCTTCTCCTAATAAAACCTTATCAAAGAAAAGTTGGCCATGTCGCAACCAAACATCATTCCATTGAGTGGAGAGAATGGAAGTTTTGGCCGCTTCACGAGTATCTAGACACTCTAATATCCTGTGTTTTACATCTTCTGGCAGTTCACTTATTAGATCAGACGTAGTTCTGCTTCGAAGAGTAGCCATTAGATCGAAAGCAGCCTGGAATTGTAAGCATGCAGAGTTACAAACTTCTCATTAAGATCTCGAGCTGCATTTACACGTCATTAGCTATCCAATATGGATTTCCGGATTTAGCAGATTTTACAAATTTCCATTTGGATTGAGGTTGAGATGCAAAATCAAATTGATATATACTATCGTATTTCCCACGGTATGTAGCAGAAACTTCTGGAAACGGGGAGATGATTTACCAGCACGGGTAGCTGGTCCAGCCATGGGTGGGAGATTTGGATCAGGACCAAAGTTCGAATCCCGACTTTTACTCTCTCCGTCCCATAATTAACTTCGGTTTTGACCGGAGACGAGGATCAAGATAGTGAGATTTGTGTGGTGGAGAGTTGTGCAGAAGAGAGAGAAATATGTAAGAATGAATGTGAACACATTTTCCTTACTAAATGAAATGAAAGTAGTATATCTCTCCATTTCATTGTGAATTGTATTAAATTTCTTAATTGATACATCACTTAATAATGACCCAATTAAGTAATGACTCAACTATTAAGGTTTATGCAGTTCATAACGAGGCTTAAGTCATTCATCAATTTTTCTTTTAAACACTTGTGTTGAGGGTAAATCCCGTAGATCCGAAAGCCCAACACGAACTTTGGATATATCAGGAATGACCCAGAATCAAAGCGTATAAGAAAATATAAGATCTGAACTAACTAAAACTCGAAAGCTCACTTGTATTAATTAACCAATCTGATTACAAGGAAATTCCCGATCGGTATGTCGGAAACTATGCTTTGATACAAGAAGTAAGGGCAAATGATGCTATTCTAGAGCTTGAGTATTGAAATGCTAACCCTTACAATGACTTGAAACCTTTTATTTATACTAATGGAGAGCATGAGCTGCCTCTTGCTGATTGGCCGTTGTTCCACCGACTTGGTCATCCATGCTTCCACTTGCTGATGTCATAGTCTGGCATTAATTGCACCTGGCCACTTGCTGGTTGGCCGTTGCTCGAACGGGATGTTGGGCTGCACTGAAGATGCTGTCAAATTGGCCCAAGTATGATATATAGCCCGAACCTCGTTCGGTATGTCTTCTTACTGGGCCAATCTTTATTTGGGCCGAACTCCGTTCGGTATGTCTTCTTACTGGATCTATTCATCACAGAGTGATGGGCCCGTTGCTTGGGCCGGATATCTCGGGCCTTCCCGATCTGGGTATTGGGCCTCTAGGTCAATATCCCAACACAAGTCCCCCACTTCCGATGTCTCGAACGAAGTGAGCGCATTAGGAAGTATATCAATGTTATAATACCCCGAATGGCGATCGGGGTACAGACGTAATCAGTTCCCCATGTTGCGATTCGACGGCTGCCGTTTCATTTCCCCATATTCATCATGATAACCGTCGTTTAGTCTTTTCATTAGACACGTGTTTAGCTTAAATGCTCTTAGTGACATGTCGCTCTCTGATTGGTTCTCGACACGGCGGTTTCAAGGCTATAAATTAGCCTCTAACTTCTCAATTCCGGGTTTCGACTCTGCAATTCCTTGGCCTTCGTTGTTTCCTCTGCAAATTTCTCCCTGCTTCCTTTGCTCAGGTAATTTCCCAACTCCGGATTCCCTATCTTCATTTCTGGCTTCGATCGAGATGAGCCCCAAAGAGCATTCCTCTGATTCGGAGATGGCCTCTCATGGAGATGACCGTGACGCCGCCATTGTAGATGTCATCACAGTTCCGTTTGCCGGTGTTTCTACTGAGACGGCGACGAATACCAGGGCTGAGGCAGAGGACCTCCCTAGCACTTCTTCTTCCTCCAGTGAGGATTCCGACGACACCAAATCCGAGGACGAAATAGCCTCCATGGCGGCCGGACGTCCCAACGACGTTCCTCGCCATACCCTTGACCTAAAATTGATTAGGGAGAGGCGACAAAAATTGACCTCTCACAATAGGGCCGAAATTCCGGCCCTTATCCCTGACCCGGTGGATTTCCGTTTGCAAGCTGGGCTTCACCCAATGCGTCATAGGCCCGGAATGACCATAGTCCACTTTGACTCAATTAGGGCCGGCCTTAGATTTCCGCTACACCCCTTTTTCATTTCTTTCTTCAATTTCTACGAAGTTGTACCGACCCAGATTATGCCGAACTCCTATCGGGCAATGGCGGGTTTCATTTGTCGTTGCAAAGATGTCGGCGCCCAACCAACCCTAGAACTCTTCCATCAATTCTTCAAAGTAGCCCCCCAACAAACCCATGGTTATCTGGCCACTAGTGCCCGAACGGGACACATCCTGTTCAAGGGAAACCCAACTTCAATCAAAGGGTGGAAAGACCGTTTTTTCTTTGTGTCTGTCCCGGACGGCCTAATTCCCCGTAAATGGAATGCCTTCCCCCGCAAGACTCCTGATCCTGTCCTCACTGAAGAAATTTACAAGGACGTGCTTGCTGTGGAGAAGGATAAATGCATGGATATCATGAGTTATCTGACTCCCGAACGACTCATTACGGCCGGGATAGGTACTGCCCGTTCTCTTGGGTTTACTTGTTTTGAGAAACTAAGTGCCATGGTCCGGGCGGTCCTTCCCGTGCGAGAAACGTTCTTTTATTCCTTTCTCTAGTTTCTCACACGCTAAGGCCGCTCGATACTAACATTCTCCTTTGTCTTTTTTCAGCACCAAACCCAGATCTACCTATGGATGACAGCAGAGTTATCGCAGCCGGTGGGGCCGGTAAGCAGAAAAAATCCCGGAAGAACCCCCAACCTACTCCCACCATTATTCCCGCTCAGGATGCTGCCCCTTCTGAACCGCTTCCAGAGCCTTAACCAATACAGCAGGTCCACCAGGACCAATTCGAGGCCATGCTGGTTGACGACCGGTTCGGCTCTGACCAACTGCACCAATTTCCTCATGATTTCGACTCCGTTCGGGGGGAACCCTCGAATGCTGGTGAGACCCATACCGACCATATTACGGGTCAGGTCGAGCGGATCTCCCTATCCGACCCTGTCCATGAGGTATTAGAGAGGGCCGGCTCTACCGCGAGCCAGATCTGGTCGACCTCCTCTTGGTTCAACAACTTTTCCCTTCCTCAGTTGCCGGTCGAGCAATCTGAAGAATGTCTGGCTCTGACTGCTCTGAAGGTACATTGTCTTTTGCGCTTTGTCTTTATTTTATTCTCTGTAATCAGTACTAACTCTCGAACGGTATTCTGTAGATGGGTTTGTACACCCTTCAAATGCGGGAGGCCCGCCTGGCCAAGGAGCGGGAACTGATTGTTGCCCAGTCTTCTGCTGAGCAACATGCTGCTGCTGCCATCGCCTCTCTGGAGGCCGAACGGAAAGTCTTTGCGGAGGAAAAGTAGAGGCTGGATGCTGAGCTCGGTACCCTTCGGGTCCAACTCGCAGCTTCCCAGGCGAAGGTCCTTGCTGCTGAGGCCGCACATGTCAAATTCGAAGAAATGCCATCCAGCATCCCGGACGGTCCCTATGAAGTGAACGTGGATCTGTCCGCCGTCCGGGACACGTTTAAATCCTCTGATGAATTCTCCATCATCAAGGATGAACATGCAAGGGCCCAAATCCCGTTCGCCTTTGGGGCGTACTTGAAGGGTTTCCCCAAAGGCGCTGGTCGGCTATCGGCAGGGGTGGCCCTCTTGGATAAGGACCCCGAGGCCAAAAAATGGAACGACTCCATTGTCTCAGACCTTTATGGCAAAATTGGCCAGGTCTTGCTGCGTCCCTTCGTTACTCAGCTTCAAAATCATCTGGGGAGGCCGGTTCAGGCTTCTGATCTCCCCACAGATGATATTATCCAGACTCAGTTTGAGAAATTCACGCGAGCTCAGCAAAGGGAAGCCGATCGGGCTGCTGGGAGAGAGCCTGAGCCCCTGTCTGATGATGATGAAGATGAGGACGAAGAGGGGGATGAAATGGCCCCTAGCCAATAATTTATATGTACTTTTTCATTACTTGTTGTAATTTTCTTTTTCTCTAAATAGCTTGTACTTCCCGGTCAGCAGAACCGATGAATATATATCCCTTTTTTGCCTGAAATTTTGTGTACTATCTTTTCTGTCTTTAATGCATGATTTACTCGTCATTCGGGATTCGGCCCATTTTGTAGGACTTAACCAATTTCCTAATTTTATTTCTTGCTCAACTACCCTTAATGCCGTTGATTGCCGTTCGGGAATTAGAAAGTTCTGATGATTTATTTAAGGAAAAACCCCTTCTCTCTGGTACTCAGCCGTTCGGGCTTCATACCAAATTTTAGGACTTAGCACATTCTTGCTCCAGATAATCTCTTACAACGTTGATAGCCGGTTGAGCTTCAGATCAATCCTTAGGATAGCTTTTACGACGTTGATAGCCGGTCGGGCTTCAGGTCAACTTTTAGGACAACAGTTTTCTTGGTTTTCATAATATTGATAGCCGTTCGGGCTTCAGACCAATGTTTAGGACTTAACCGTTTTCTTAGTGTTCTTTCCACCTGGGCCTCTTCATAAGTTGGTAGCCGTTCGGGCTTCAGGTTGACATTCAGGACTTAGCATTTTTCTAAACAGCAAGTCCCTGTGATCTTTGCTAATCCTCTGTAAGCCCGTCCGAGGTACGTGCACAAAAAATGAATCATAAATGCCCCAGATTAATCGTAACCACCCAATGCCACGTGTTGCTCAAGGATTAGGGATTTGTGCGGCCCTTTCCCTATTTATAGAGAGGTGCTTCCCCTAATTTCTCCTGCTGTTTTCTCATTTTTCCTCAAGCTTTCTCTCTCTAGAATCCCCAGAATTCCCTTCCATACTCTTAGGCCTTCTCTCTCTAGAATTCCCAGAGTTCTTTCAGCGTTTTTATGTACTACTCCTCTAGCTCAGAATCTGAAGAGATGCCTTTGATTCGCAAAAGCAAAACATCCGCTGGTAACCAGGCCGAAGGCTCTTCGTCCCAAACACCTAAACCCGCCAATCCTCAGGCCAGCAAACATATCGAACTGCCACAGGAGGACGGATGTCTGTCCGGAGATGACCTCCAAGTTTACAACAAGGGGATGCCCGAGCGGCCACCCCGCATTGCCCTACACTTCAATCGCATACGCAAACACAAACAACGTCTCCCAGAAGATGTTGAACGGCAACTCAACCAGTTGTTGCCCCCACCAAGAGAATACTATGCCGGATTCATTCGGCACCCTATGAGGCACCGACCGGGGCACGTGCTAGTGCACCTTGATGCTCTGACTGCTGGACTTCGGTTCCCTCTCCATTCATTCATAGTGGAGTTCTTACGCCGGGTTGCTGTA